AGATATAGCAGATACTCAGTTTGGCTTTAAAAATGGTTTCGGTACTAGGGAGGCTTTGTTTGCCTACAATGTCTTAATGCAGCGATGCCTTGATGTCAATCAAAATGTATATGTCTGCTTTATGGACTATAATAAAGCATTTGATAAAGTAAAACACAAGCAACTAATAGAAGCGTTAGAACGAAAAAATCTCGATACAACCCAGTAAACACACAAACGTAACTTAAACGTTTTAAAAAATAGTGACACCATTCAAAAAATTAGTTGACATAATACGTACATTCAACTTAAAAATGTCGCACGTTCCAATGTTCTGCATACCCAAATTGTAAACGTTTGATTGAAATAAAAATAAAACCACATCTTAACGTTTTTGGTCAACGTTCTAGATAACCAAATTCTTAACGTTTAATTGTACTGCAAAAAAACCAAAATTAAACGTTTATGCGATGCCAATTTTAAACGTTACAGTAACGATAATAATTCCTAATTTATCACTTTTATGTTGACATTTATGTCAACCTATCTGCTTATCTACTTTATGGCCGTACTATTTTTTTTACTTACGACTCATCATTGACAAAACATTTGATTGCCGTTTAATTTATACTCATTTTGACTGAACGCCAATGATAATGATGATATTTTTGAAGAATACTGACGTCATCAGGTTCCTTTTTGATTCTTTATTTCTTGCAATATTCCATGCAAACGTTTGTTATTAGTTAAAATTAGTAATCAGTTTCGCTTCATAACCAAAAAGAACCTGACGCACGACGGCAGCACTCCCAAAAAAATCATTATCATTGGTATGCTCTCAAATGAATTCTTACAAATAAATGAACGTTCCGTCAATGGTGTGTTCCAAGTAAAAAAGAAGTAGGGCCATGAAGCAGATAAGCGGGTGAGTTTGGCCCATGGGCATAAAGTACAAAATTTAGTGGTCCGGAATTGAACATTGAAATAAAGCCCTGCCAGTTATGAACATAAAATATATTTCCGCCATGTAATAAAAAATAAACATTTTAATAATCTTATACTTAATATAAATGTGTCTCATTACAAGGGGTTTCAGGATCAGTTTGACATAAACCTATGGTAGCATCATTGAATGAACAACAACTATAGACTTACAACAACATAATAATCTTAAATCAACAAAACAAACGAAAAACTGAAAAGGCACGTCTGCAATGTAAAATAAACACAAGTTATGCCTAAAAAAGAAAAAAAAACAATACTGAAGATCCAATAAAACTATCAAACAGCGAACAGTGAAAATATTGACTTTCAAACGTTTCCCTCGCCCTCCAAGCTACCTGTAGGTCATTGTTTTCATTGGTCGGAAAATTCAGCTTTGCTGCTTCTAGAAAAATCAGATAGATAGAAAGTATAGTCATGGATTATTATTATACGCACCATACACAATGTCCATTGTGGTTGTTTTCTCGAATTCAACTTTGTTATACCTTCCCTTCCAATTAAACTGAAGACCTAACTGGTTGGTGAACAGGTATTTCATTATGCGACGTGTAACGCCCTCCAAGCCTGAACCACCCAATGCCGCTAGTCTTCTGATCTATATATGTAGAACATAATATTATAGTATCGAGCGGAAATTGAAAATCTGGTCTCTCACCAAGCACTGATTGACAGAAGGATCCTCTCTTAGGAGCTTCTTAAGATTTAAAAATTCCTCGTAAGTTTTTAGAGGGAAGGAAAGCTTTACTTACCTATATATCAGCCTACTCTCACTACCAGCCACTAAAAAAATAACACCATCGATCCTAACGACCAACGATCCTAACAAACCAAACCAAACAACTGCCGACCGGCCGTTTGCGTCTCAAAGCATCGATCGTTGAAAAAGGTCATGAGCGTGGTTTCAATTACACGTTTAAGAGACATCCAAATAAACGTTTTAAAAATGTTTGCCGCGAAACGAATTACTTTTAATGAACAATGAAACGTTAGTTCAATGTATAATTGAACGCAAAAACCCCAAAATGTATCTTGAATGGTAGTTGTACGTTAAATTAACGTTTTAGATTGTTGTTGCATCGCTGATGTTTTTAACGTTATAGTAACGTGAAAAAGTGCATCTTTATGGTTTATCGTTTCGAAATAACGTTTCGCAAACGTTCCGTAATACTGTTGTTTACTCAACCATAAAATAATGGTTTATATTTTGACGTACAACCAATTCTCAACCAACGATACGTGAATTAAACGTTATAAAAACGTACTTGTGTTTATTGGGAGGAGATATACAAATAATAGTAAAACTGTACCTCAATCAAAGTGCGTCTGTTCGCGTCCAATCTGAACTGACGAGAGCAGTGGATATCAAACGAGGAGTTAGACAGGGATGTGTTCTTTCACCACTCCTTTTCAACGTCTACTCAGAGGAAATCTTCAACAAAGCCCTCGAAAATGATGCTGGTGGAATACGAGTTAACGGCATACCACTGAACAATTTGCGCTACGCGGACGATACAGTCCTTCTCGCTGAAAACATGCAAGACCTTCAGAATATGTTAAATAACGTCATCACAACTAGTCGAGAATATGGTCTGACACTCAATGTTAAGAAGACCAAATACATGATTGTCACTAAAACTGGAGTACCCAATGAACATCTGTACGCGGAAGGCGAGGAGCTCGAAAGAGTAGAGAGGTATGACTACCTGGGTACAAGTGTCGACTGCACACTTGTTCAGAAATAAAGATTCGCATTGAAAGGGCCCGTGCATCCTTTGTGAAGATTAAGAAGCTGTTCTGTAGCCGCGATTTGAGCCTAGATCTGAGAACTCGTATGCTCAAATGTTATGTATTCCCAGTCCTTTTGTATGGTATGGAAGCTTGGACCCTCAACGAGCTTTGCGAGCGGAAACTGGAGGCCTTCGAGATGTGGGCATACCGTAGGATGTTGAGAATACCATGGACAGAATATGTAACCAACGTGGAGGTTCTGAGAAAATGAGGAAGGGCGTAGAGATCCTCAAAGAAGTAAAAAAAAGAAAATTGCAATATCTCGGCCATATCATGAGAGGTCCAAGGTATGAGACTTTGAACTCATAATCCAGGGAAAAATTGTAGGAAAAAGATCTGTCGGAAGGAGAAGAATATCCTGGCTCAGAAACTTGCGAAAATGGTTTAATGTCACGTCATCTGACCTATTTAGGGCCGCAGCTTCCAAGGTCAAAATAGCAATGATGATGCCAACCTCCGATATGGAGACGGTACATGAAGAAGAAGAAGAAGTGTAGCTGAAAGATCATTGTGTGAAAGAAAAAAAGGGTTTGTGATATTTATTATACGTACCAATTGCTTAAATGTACCTATGTTTCTTTCTCTTTAATTTATATTTTCTATAATCTCTCTCTGTTCAATGACGTGTCGTTAATATGCCCAATGACATGTTCTCTGGCTTAGAGGGTTATACAAGCTACGTGATATTTCTATTTCTAGTATATTGTTGTTAACAGTAATATACTCCACTAGAAATAGAGCTTTTGTAAACTGCCAATAAAAATCGCATATACTACAATATGAACTCTTGTTATTTAGCACACATATACCTCTAGTAAACCGTTGAGGTTCTGATCATTCTTTTGTTTTTGGTTCTAAGAACGTAGGTCATACACCCTCTAAAACATTAGGTATTTTTTTGGTTAGGTAAACTTGCCTTCATGTAAATTTGCCACTGAAAAGCTAGTTTTCTTTGTTATTTTTTTATTATTAAAGCTGGCCTGTATGTCTTTAGAATTTTCTGCGATCTTATCTTCTAAAATATTAATTTTTTCACTGATTTTCTCTTCTAAATTTACTTCCAAGTCAATTATTTTACTATTCAAATTGTTCAAGTTGTCGTCTAATTTTTGTAAGGACGAGTCAAGGTCACCTTCCAACTCAAAGCAAAATGTGTCAGGATCCTCACCTTCCTCAATCAAAACGTCTCTCAGTCCGGCTTGCAAAATGCTTTTCTTTCCATCTGTCTCGCATTCCCTCTCTTCCAATATGCATTTTAATTCCGACACTTTCAAGTCTTTCAATAATTTTTTCGGAGCCATTGTCAGTCTTTTTATTTTTCTAGTCTATCACACACGCCACACTTGACACCAATTGTTACGTTGTTCGTCGGTTCCGTGTGGATAGAAAGTCACAATTTATTTACATTAAGTAACAAACAATAACGATTAAAAGACTTAAAGAACTGTTTACAAACTATTTATAATTATTTATCTAGAAAGAATTTATTTTGAATTTAGTTCGGCAATTGTACTCATCTATTTATTTCTGTTCTCCTCAGGCCCCGGGCGTTGGCTTATGCCGTAACCGCACATGCAGCATTTGGTGATCTCCGAACGGGGCTTCGCCGATTTCTATGTGTGTCGATGGGGAAGTCGGAGTTCGGCAACTCGATCGGCGACGAGAACGAGCGTTCGTCTCTATGTTGTTGCTATCAGAGCCTGCATGTGGATGGAAAGGCGAAGTCCGATCACGAGCGCTCGGAGTTCGCTAAATGCCGCATGTGCGGTTCCGGCATTTTATATACCCACAGCTAAGCAGTTCTCGAATAATCGGTTAGACGTTAGATCATTAGGTGCATAGAGAAGGTTTAGAATGTTCTCGTATGTACTACTCCATTCCAGTGGAACTCGATTGTTCTCGAACGTTCGAATGAATCAGTACGGTGTCTAGCTACGCTAGTTTTTCTTAGATTTTAACGTAGCAGCATTTTACAATATAAAACTTATTTTATTTTTCGATTTGTGTATCAGTGGAAAATAACCAGCCTTACTTTTTGTTGTGTGGCTCACCTTGTACATATTTGTTGAACTATATAACGATTATAAGTCTATTCATTACCACTATACTTAATTGTACTGCGACTGTTATTATCTACTAGTATTTATTTATATTACGATCTTTACTACACTACAATACATAAAATTATAAGGAAGTATCTAGAAATAATGTTATTTTTTTTGTTTCAGAATATGAAGATGTTTATGGTGATATGGGCGAAGCTGATGTACAAAAAGACGGCACTCCAGACTATTATGACGACTATACGGATAACAATAATGTAAACGATAACGCAGGAGTGGAAGTAGAAAATATAAAACTGCTGTCAAAGTCGGCAGTATTTGCGAATCAAATTGGAGAGAGTGTTCTCCTGCCTTGTGAAAGTACTAGCAGTAAGTATTTTTAGGCAATAGTGAATTTAACAAGGTCTTCTAATATTAGTTTTATTAAAAGAACGAGAAAAAAATGTACATTTCCACAAACCATAATTTGTCTGCATTTGTTGAGTTTTCTTGTTTACGGGTTTATTCTCTTTGGTTCTTTTAACTTGTCTATTATTGCCTTCCGTTCTTTCTATATGTTTGTTTTACTCTCGTCCGAATATTAAGTTTTGACGTACATCTATCTAAAACTGTGGTAATACATCTGTCTAAAACTGTGGTAAACTTAAAGACAAATATATTATAAGAATATATTGCTAATAACGAACAGAAATTGAGCTAAATTTTTGTGATGGGGCTACACAAAATCCACATAAGTCGGACTTTTTCGTTCAACAGCTTTGAACTACGTAATGTGAGTGCTTCGCGATTACTTGATTTATTTCATACTAACCAATAGAAGTAGTTCTAAGTTTCTATCTACCACGTAAATCAATTTAGCGTCTGACTATTCGCGCCTTTATTATAAATTTAAATTTAATATCGGACTTATTTAAACAAAACCAAAAAACGGGTAGATATGACGAATATCTAAAATAACAGCTTGAAATAATGCCATTATCAATAAAAAAATATATATTATACGTTATTAATATATTTAGAGATAAAAATAGTGCGCGGGCAGGTGACAGCGTTCATCGATGAAGTAGACGAATCAGATCGTTTTATTTGGCGCGTGCGCACGAAAATCCTGTTGAATCAAAAGGATAGACTTATGCAAAATTGATATTCCTATTAATTTTCTTTGGCTTTACTTTCCACTCGTTGTGTAAATACGGTACAAGCAATATAGTTTTATAATATATTTGCTTAAAGACCAGAAACATTATCCAGAAATTCTGTTGTTCGACATGGGGAGCATCATCAGCCATACTTAGATCGTCTGTTGTGGGGTTCGTTTACTCGCGGAATACCGTGCTCCAATATGGCTTCTAAGCGATATTCCACGAAAGCCTCACTTCCGCGAAACCAGTATGTTGATCAAGGAAGATAAAAAGATACTTGAAAACAGAAAACTTCCAGTACATAACTATATTAAAGACACAAACAAAAACCGACAACGTTTCAGTGAAACCACCTATAAAGACCACAAGAACTGCTATAGAAACATTTAAAAAAATAGCAGCTTTAGTCGTGACTGACTAAGTTAAGAAAAAACTCAAAATTTATGTGAGGATGCAGTCAATAATCACCACACAGGCTAAGAAAACTACTTTTTCAAATTTGTCAAGCTTTCGAGAATTTTATTCCCATCATCAGGACAGTTTGACTGAGTCAATTGGCAAAAACAACATTCTCTGCACAAAAAGGCATTAAAACTAGCATCATATGACATTGGAATACAAGGATATTTCTTTTATAAAATATTAAAACACATATCCAACGACATTTCTTTTCTTTAAACAAAAAACATTTTTTTTTATTTTTTTTAATTTACTAAACTAATCTCTACATTGTTGTTTCGAGCTCGATCAAACAGTGACTAACAGTTTAATATTACAGAGAGATGGACTCACGAATGGTCACCCGAACAATATTATTCCCTGCATAACTGAAAGACCCCTCGGTTTTAATTTACCTCGCAAAACCTAGTGCACACTAAATCGTATCAAGTTCCAACACGAAAGATGTGCATATTTCCTTCTCAGCCAGGATAGCTTCCTTCGGCCTATTCCCCTTCTGCCCTCCTCGATTTTACCCTGGATAATTAGACGCTAAAAGTGATAGCGTTCTCCTCGTAGTATGTGTCCCAAATAGGCTATTTTCCTCTTCTTGATGATTTCGGAGACCTCTGAATGTCTGCATTCCTCACACGGTCGCTAAATAAATATGTGTTTGTTCCAGCCATATTTTTTTCTCTAAAAAATGTCTATACCTATGGCGGATTCATCTCTCCAAAAAATCCTCTATGGGTATTTCGCCACTGCACTGCAAGAAAATCTACAAAATAAAATAGTTATTCTTTCGTTAACCCTAAACGGAAACTGCTTGTCAGAAGTTATGTATACAGTTATACAAATTTGCCTAACAAAGAAAAAATGCTTAACGTTTCGGCTATAATGTCATTTTAACAGAACGTCAACGGTTTTCTTGTAGACGTATCTGTTTTCATTGGCGGAGCTACAGGGGTGCCCGGGGGTGCCGCCCCCTCTAAGGTACTGCTGCTCCCATGCTGCTGCATTTTTTTCTTTGTTAGGCAAATTTTTATAACTGTAAACATAACTTCTGACAAGCAGTTTCCGTTTAGGTTTAACGCAGAAGTGTTTACAAAAAATAACTATTTTATTTTGTAGATTTTCTTGCAGTGCAGTGGCGAAATACCCATATAGGATTTTTTGGAGAAATATTTTTCTCTGTCTCCCCCAACCTCTATTTCTATATCTTGCTCATGTCTTTGTTATGGTGTTTCGTATTTTGCTCTGTGTGCTATTATTTTATTTTACTTCAGGGATGTCCATCATTTGTAGTCAGTTCACATTTATCTGGTCTTGTTTCTACCGCATTATATTATTATGAGTCTAATTGCTGTTTTATATTCTTGGCTCTGCCTTATGTACGATACAACTGTGTGAGCAGATAACTCTATTTAATTTCTCAAACAGCCTGAAATCTAAAATGCTTTCATTTTATGCTGCCTACTACATTACTTATTTTTCTTCATTCAACAGGTTTCCATTACTTGTTATTTCTGCTCCCAGGTATTTGAAGTGGCTTACCTGTTGGGTATGTTTTGGAATTAATTTCAGCTCAAATCTTATTCGTTTTCTATCTGATACTAGACTCTTGAAGATTGTTTTCAGAATTTGCGATGAACTTCTTATTTTGCATTTTGTAACCAGCTGCTGTAGGCAATTTTTTTTTTTTGAAAAAAATATTTTCTCCATTATTAAATTAAACATAAACGTTCTGCGTGAATGAAGCTGTCTAAGCCCTTTTGTGGTTTGTTTCCTGTTGTCATATTTTCAAATTTTAGTTTAGTCAGTTATTTCAAATAGCATAAATAAAAAATAAATATTACATTTTGAATGGTGATATATATTTTTTTAATCCTTTAAATTGTGATATACACACATAGCCAAAATTATTGCATATATCGTTTAAAAATATACGGAAAGGAATTTAAAGAATCTTTTTTTATACATAGCTTAGATAATCTGTAGTAAACATTTTTTTGTTAAAATTGATATGGTAAATAATGTTTATCGTTCAGACCCAATATTATTACAAATTCTTGCACATTTCGATTTGTGGTCTCTTAGATTTCAGAAGAAATTTGACCATTGTTTTGGCCTTAAAATGCCTAGAAACATTATTTCACAGTTTAATAGAGTCAGAATAGTAACACTGTCTCAACAGGGCTACCGGCAAGTTGCAATAGCTGAAATTGTAGGAGTTAACTAAAGCGATGTTTCGCGAATATTAAAAAAATTCAGGGAGTCAAACGAGGTTACAGACCGGCCTGGAAGAGGTAGAAAGAGAGTTACTACTGTTGTGCAAGACCGTCAAATATCCATCATTGCACGACGCAGTCCCCTGCTTTCTAGTATTGCTATTAAAAATGAGTTAGCTCGCCTTGAAAGAGTAAATGTCTCAAGAAAGACCATAGCAAGAAGACTCCATGACAGAGGATTACATTTCAGGAGGCCTCACGTCTTCCGAATCTTAATTTACAGCACAAAATTATGCGACTACAATGAGCTGAGGAGATGAGAGCTAACGGACCTAATAGGAATTTCGTCATGTTTAGTGATGAAACAAGAATAGGCCTAGTGTCAGACTCGCGACGAACTTTGGTCTGGAGAGCATCTGGAAGACAAGCACGCTTGAATGCAGCTCAACCCCGTGTCCTGTTATTAAGGTATGGGCAGGTATAATGTACGGAACTCGAACTCCTCTTGTTTTTATTGATGGCACAATGACAGGTGCCTCATATCTTAGAGACGTTTTAGAGTCTATTGTGCGTCCATTTCGAGGGGCAGTGGGGGATGAATTTGTTTACATGGACGATAATGCTCCTCCCCATCTCACTTTAGCGGTTCGCGACTTTTGTGAGGAAGAGGGTATAAAAAAACTGTGGTGGCCACCGATGTCTCCAGATATGAATGTGATCGAGCATGCTTGGGACATACTAAAACGCCATATTGCCAAAAGGAATGATCCCCCCTGTACCTTAAATGAATTGAAAATTGCTGCGCGCTAAACATGGGAAGACATTCCTAAACATCTTCTGGACAACTTAATTGAGAGCATGCCACGTCGTCTCACAGCTTGCATTGAGGCTCGAGGAGGCAATACAAACTATTAGTTGTGAGAAATAATTAAAATTGTTTTCAATATTTTCTGTTTAAAATGAAATTTGTTTTTGTTGATTTTCACTCATTATGAAATAAAATTATAATAACAGCCTAGTTGCACTTAGATTTTTAATTTTATATTAGTTAGTCGTGTAGTAAACCAATATGTCCAAAAATATAAAAAGAATCAGGTCCAAAATAAAATAAAAATATCGTTATATGCAATAATTTTGGCCATGTGTGTATGTTAATTTTACTATTTTTTACAAAACTTTATATAACGGTGATTATATTATTATATGATTTGTTTTCAGATGATCCAGTTCGAGTATGGAAAAAAGGATTAGCAATACTATACCAAGGATCAGTTAATACGCAGGATAAGAAGAATTTGAAACTTCATCCAAACGGATCTTTGTCTATACAAATTGAAGACCCCAGTGATTATGGTATATATTATTGCACGTTACTGGTGTCAGTAAATGAGAGACCCACAGTTACCTATGAACTGATTGACAGAAATCCCAGGATTGCTTCAATCCGCACTCAAACTAACGAGACAGTGGTAAGAATTGAATATTAATTGTCTATCTTAAGGAAAGTTTTCACCTGTCAATGAACGTAAGAACACGTTTTCACACGTTTTCTATTGTGTCCCTCTGTCTGTTACTCATCATATAGTCTCAAGACTTTGACAAAAGGTAGTATCTGAGACGGTTTTATAGAAGTTAGTTCTCCATCTCCGATATCAGTCGTACCAAAGTTTATGGCACGAATAGTTGTCGTCTCAGGGCACTCAGTGATGAGGTGTTCTAGTGTTTCCCCATTGATTTTCCCTACAGAATCTGCATTCCCTTGTTTCTTAGCTTCATTCTACTGAGGTGTTCATTGAGGAGACAGTGTCCTGTTAAAAACCCCGTGACAATCTAAGATTGTTCTTACTTAAATCTAGGAATATCATTAATTTTTCTCGGTCATAAGTTCTGAGAACTGATGGAGTCTTCTAGGTTATTGCGTTCCGCTTTGAGTTGGTTTCCACTTGGGAAGCCGAACGGTTCTGGTCCAGTTAGTAGAGTGTTTGTTCCTTTTCTAGCTAGATCGTTTCCTTTTTCATTACCTTCTTGGTGAGCTGACACCCATAGTAGGACTTTATTTTCTTCGCCTAATTTGTTCAGCTTCTCTAAGCATTCTTTGGCTAACTTCGAATTGATGCTTACTGAGTTGATGGTTTTTAATGCTGCTTGACTATCGGATAAGATGGCTATTTCTTGTTTCTGATAGTTCCTATCTAAGATAAGTTGTACGCATCTTTCGATAGCGTAGATTTTTGCCTGAAAGATACTAGGGTAGGTGTCTATTGACTTCTATCCATGTTCCTGCTTTGGTTTTGGAAGCATCGGTATACCACGTTATGGCATCGTCTTTTACCATCTGAGCAAACTTTTCTCTTCTAGTATTGCGGTGTTTCAATATTGCGGTGTTTCTCAAAGTTGTAGATTCTTAGTATATCATCCACTGGGAGTTGGAGGAGTGGAATTTTTCTGACACTTATATGCTGACAATTATCTCAGTACTGTTTGTGCCAATGGCCATTCTAATAATTATTGTCGCATTTATATATCTACCAATGACAAAGGTCATTCATTCATTCAGTCACAAGGTTATTCTAGACCTAACACCACTGTGTTAGGTCTAGAATAACTTTCATTACTGCTGTCGGGCAGGTTCTCATGGCTCCTTTGATGCAGATGCATGTTTCAGTGAAACCGATAGTGTATTCATACATTCAGTTAAAGTGAAAGCTACTTCTACTTTTGTTTATTTTGACTGAACAGTGAATTTCAATGAAGTTTTACAGCGTATTTTTTTCGTTCAGGAATTATTGACTGAATTAGTTCTGAAAACTATTTTTTTAGCCGACCATACCAACAGGTATGGTAGGCTATTAAGATCGGCAAAATATCGGGTCATAAATGACCTAAATACAAAATATTTTCATGGTGTCTGTCTGTCTGTACGTCTGTCTGTAACACGATAACTCAAAAACCGCTAAACCGATTTTAATCAAATATTCACAAAAATACTGTGGCACCCGAGAATCTGGCCATTAGTTTTTGGTTTTGTAAGGGGGTATGGGAGGGGTATCGTAACTCCAAAATTACAGTAGCTATCGAAACGCGATTTTCAATTTAAGATTAGGAATAATATTTGCAACAAAATTTTACCTTTATTTCATTCGTAGAATCTAAAAATTGTATAATATATAGGGTGTTCCATTTAAAAAAATACAACTATAATATTTTTTACATATTTGGCACACTCTGTATCTTGTAAAAATATTTTTAAATTGTAGCTCTAATAGTCCTTCAATGAACCCAAAACTTAAAATTTGTAAAAATCTAATCATTGAGCTACAATACTCCGTGTCGTATGTGGTGAACAACCCTGTATACGTAGGTACTTATATTAATATGTTTTACAGTTTTCAGTTGGAGACGAACTAACCCTAACTTGTCAACCAGAAGGAAATCATAACGTTAAGATTACATGGCACAAGAATAACGTAAGGTTAGCACCAGAAGGGGAGACGATAACTATTCCAAGTCTTACTGCGACCGATGGAGGTCTTTACAGATGTCTAGCTGATAAGGGAAACGGAATTAAACCAGATCATATGCACATCGAAATTTTTGTCAATCGTAAGTAATATCGTCTTATTTGTTTAACTATTGCATTAGTTTATAAGAGGAAATGTAAAGTAGATATGCTGCTTTTATAGCCACTCTAATGTATGATAAAAAAACGGCGTCAGGAATGATGATCGATAATAATTTGGCGACGTTAATCTCTAGAGGTCATTTACTAAAAATTAACATAAAACTTAAGAAAGATTAATAAAGGATAGAACGTTTCCAGGTACACAAATCTCATCAAATTATTTTTACTCAATATAAAAATAAATTACCATCTTCCTAAGGCCAACTGGTTTACTGACATTAAAAAATATCGATGAGTACGGGCCTAGGGAGCACGTCTAGGGCTTCACCTCGCCAAAATTATCATCGATTGTCATTCCCCAGCCAATTTTGACGCCGTTTTTTTTTGTTCGATCATATGGTATTTTAGTGTCATAAGTCATAATATCGTACAAATTACTCATTATGTTGCTCTTAGAAATATCTGCTTCTACGATCCACTACCCATTCCACCTTTTGTGTAGTGCCTCAGTCGCAGAGAATGTGGTTAGCTGTTTCTGAGTTTTTATACGAGCCCTAACAACTATATGTTGGAACAAGGTCTTTTTTTGCAATAAAAATAGTAATTTGTTAAAACGACTCAATTTATTTTTTTTATTATTCTAAATTCAAACATTACAATATGATCTAGACAATTTTACTATATTCTTATAACTTTGCAAATTAATCACTTTTGACAATAGCTTATTTTGAGAAGATCAAGCCAAATTTGCTGACAACTATATATTGGGACAGCACAACAAGAAATTTGTTTAATACGGAGTTACATCACCTTTCGCCTTAACAACTGCCTGAACTCTTAATGGCATTGTATTTACCAAAGATTGGCACATTTGAGGAGAAAAATTATCCCAAATTTCCTGCAGTTTTGTCCGCAAATCAAAAATTGTTCGTTGAGGGTGGTTTCTTAAATATTGCTTCATTTTATGCCACACAGTTTCTATAACATTGAGGTCCGGACTACTTGAAGGATGGGATAGAACTTTTATATTATTATTACCAAACCAATTTTTAGTTGATCTTGCTGAATGGCACAATGCTCCATCTTGTTGGAAAATATAGTCTTCGTTTGGAAACAATTCTTGAGCACTAGGCAAAAGTGAGGTCTCAAGAATATGTTGATATTTTTGAGCGTTAACAGTGCCATCTATAAAATTTAATTTGCCCAAACCTCTTGCTGACATGCAACCCCAAACCATAATCCCCTTAGGAAATTTAACAACCCTCTTTAAGCAATCTTTATGAAAGGCTTCTTCTTTATTTCGTATTATTCGTTTTTGATGATCTCCAACGCAAACATCAAATTTAGACTCATCGCTAAATATGACCTTATTCCAATCATTTTGTGTCCACGATAATTTAGATTTTGCCCAATTGTAGCGATTTTTCTTTTGAATTTCTGTCAGTAGCGGTTTTCCTTTGGCCTAAATAAGAATTATTATTTATTATCAATAATCTTCAGCTAATTGAGTATCCACACAAAATAAAGTTTACCTTGTAAAACCCCAGACCGCATTTGTGGATATATTTTCGGCAACATTCTCTTTATATATTTAAACCAGTTACAGTATTCCATTTATCTGTTACTTCGCAAAGAGTACTTCTTCTCGCAGACTTGCAAATTTTTACTAAATTTCGTAAATCTCTCTGAGATACAAACTTTTGGCCTTCCCGAACTTTTACCTCTAAGGCCGGAACCGCACATGCGGCATTTAGCGAACTCCGAGCGCTCGTCAACTACCGAGCGCTCGTGATCGGACTTCGCCTTTCCATCCACACATGCGGGCTCTGATAGCAACAACATAGAGACGAGCGCTCGTTGTCGTCGCCGAACTCCGAATTACCCATCTACACACACAGGAAATCGGCGAAGAGCGTTCGGAGATCGCCAAATGCCGCATGTGCGGTTACGGCACAGCTTAAGTAAAAACCAGCTCGGACAGTGTAGCGTGCCGCTTTGATCTTTTTACGCTCGGATTTGCGATTCGAAAGAGGGGGAACACTAGAGCGGCGAGCTCTCTCGCCAAAACCAATAGCCGCGTAAGCGCCAGTCAGCCCAGAGATGTATTCAAAAAAAGTTTACCAAATCACCATATAATCCAAATAAAAACATTCTTCTATTTGTGTGACGACTTTTTCTGTCATCACTCAAACAGAAAGAAAAAGGTATCCGTTGCTCAGGGTTAGAGGAGAGCTGGGTTCGTAGGTAAGGCTTGTGACCTGTGGTGACTTAATAATGTTGTTAAATAATAAAATAAAAGTAATAATGTATAGGCTGCAAAGATTCTAAAATTGATGTTAAGTATTCAAATAGTAATGGTCAAAGACAGTAAAAAGGGCGCCACTTACTTTGAGTATGAAAAGGTAAAGTAAGAAACCAGTAAGAAAATTTGATCATGAAATAGCTAAAATAAAATAATCAACAGCAATAAGGGTCTATTATGTTCATCAAGAATAAAAGTCAGATATAACTATCCTACGTTGAACATTTATTTAAAGACGAACACAATTATCAATCAGTTTAAACCCAGTTTTAATTATCCCAATGAAATCGTTAGTTACTTTAAGTAAACTCAAATTTAGTTAAAGTTCTCTCCAGTATACTATACTACGTAATATATAAACAGGTGAAATTTATGTAAGTACCAATACGATGATGTTTCGAAACAAGTCGTGTACAATACCCTTCAAAAATGAATCCGTGTTAGCGATTCTCACATAAAGATCATACTGAAGTAAAACGTACCGTTAAGGACAAAGCATGACTTATAATGTTAACTAAAAGGTAAATTTTGACTATAATATATGGAATAAATGACAACAATTCACAGAGATATTCAAAATATTATCTCAAAGTAAAAAAAATTTAGGGAATACCTTGTGTGTTGAACTTAGAACTTATCTGTATTTTTTTTTTAATTTATGACGTAGTGAACAGATAGGCAGGCAGTCTCCAGACTAACGGAAGTGGATGTAGACTCTTCGATAGTAGCAGGAGTCTTCGATATCAGTAGAATAAATGTAGAGTCATAAATACTGTCTCAAAAGTGGTTACTCATATGCCAATTACTTATACGTCAATTTCTTATACGCCAGTTCTCTATATAAAAAAACTCTCAGAACAGTCACCGAATACCAAAAAATAACTTACGGTCTGAAAATCAGCTGTACACATTCCAAAATATAGCCAAACTATATGCTGATCCAAACCAGTAATGCACAATCAAACATTATCAAAATAAATAAAAAACGGGAATAACTGAAATAAAATTTAGTTAGACATGGCGATACAAAATGGTAGATACACTTACTGTGATCTTATTCCAGGAAAAGGCCAAAAAAACACGAACTAGGCTCTGAACAGTATATTCTACAGGATTTCAAATCTCCACTTTTGGATACCCGTGCCTTTACTGTTAGGAAAAGTGTTTCAGAAAGCCCTTTTCTCTGAGATTCGTCGGACGCTGAACCACGCGTCTTTTTCTGATCTCAATCTCTCGGAAAAGCCTCCTTCCTCCTTTTCGCAAAACGGAAGTCTTCGAATTGACAGGTCATATGACCAAAGGCAATTAAGTGAACTCTATCGTCTATACTGAATGAAATTTGTTTTTATGGAAAGGAACCGCTACCTGTACTGAATGAAGTTTAACATCTAGCGAATAGATGGCGCCAGCAATATTAAAATTTGGAATTTTATAAAAAGAAAAATAAAACGCTACAACGTGACGTAAAAAATTATTCGACTGGTGCTAGAACATAATTTAGATACACGTTTTTTAAATTGTTGACTTTAAATAAATATGCATTCTCAAAGAAAAACATTTAAAAAACAAATTAATTAATAAAATGCCTTCATTTTGGCCGCCATTTTGACAGCTGTCAAAAATTCGGGTCATGCCTTGCAAAAAAATGTATTGTCATCGGGACTGAACCTACATGCCAAATTTCAATCTCCTACAATAAAAGGAAGTGGTTTTAATTTAGCTTACAAGATTTGCCCCGAACAAACATACATACATACATAGATAGTTACATACAAAGCAAGTTAAATAAAAGCTTATAAAACTAGCCTCCAATGAGGAAACTAAATAAAAAAATGGTCACTTGGCATTAGCAAGCCTCCAAATAAGTAGTCTTCATCGTTTTGAAAAGCACTAAAGTGTGAATATACTTTTGAATTGAACATTAATAATTTTGAATTGAATTGAAAATTAAACAGACTATATTTTGAATTATTTCCATAATTATTTGTGCAACCAGCCCGCACATCCCGGAAAACCTTTTCCCATTCCATCAATATAAATAAAATTGAAATAAAAGCACAAATACCTATGGTTAAATATAAGAAAAAAAATCGAATTAAAATCTTCCGTAATACGGCCCTACGCGCCACCGGTGGAGGCTATGCATCGACTGAATGAGGCTGACTGTCGGTCGCTTAATTCAGTTAGCGCATCGTCGGAGTGGGACGTTTTAAATTCGAGCGTGGGAAAAATTGGCGAGTGTCAAAGCTATGTTATTCTGTAAGCTGTGGTTACGGCATAACGTCCACATTGGCAGATTCGCCGTATTTTTTTATTATATTAAAGACCGTGGTTTTTGGAATACTTAAATCATCAGAAATTGTTCGAATTGTTTTTCCCGTACTGTATTGACGAATGATAATTTCGCGCAGTTTTTAATTTGTAGCTTTTCCACGGACCATTACTTTGGATTAAATTAACAAATTGAAAATTAAAAAAAAATAAAATTTCTTACAGTAAATCTCAATACTCAAAGTTCGAGTCACTTACAAGCTGTCAATGCTGAAGTAAACAGTTTGCGACATTTGTGACGTTTATAGCAAAGCCGCCTATGATCATATTAATTATTTAAAAATACTTGTCCCAACATTTAGTTGTCAGCAAATTTGTCCTCTTATGAACAAAATCCGCTACTGTAAATATGGATTGATTTACAAATTCATAAAAATATTGTCAAGTTGTTTAGGATATATGGCTATGTTTATATTTAAAAAATTAAACATATATTTTTCAGTCATTTTGAAAAACCATGACAATAATTCTATAATATGACCTTGTCCCAACATATAGTTGTTAGGGCTCGTATATTCTTGTGTGCTATGAACGTCTTCATTAATAAGGCCCATAAGTACATTTTTGCTGGATTCAGTAAAATTATTTCTTATGATACCTAGCAATATCAAACACCACAATACACCAAAACACTTTTACTTTTACACTGGACGCGCGTTTCGCTGACCATGTTAGCATCATCAGCAGATGATTATAAACTAAAGTACAATCTACAAGTTGAGCGTTTATATACTCGCTCAGTGGGCACCGAGTGGGCGTGGCAAAATCTAGCCAACCGAGTCAGAGCCCACTGAGCGTAACAGTTAGATTTCCGCCACTAGAGTAGTAGGAACAAAGAACTTGAAGGAATTGGACCGTTGTCTCTGTTCATACTATCTTTACATTTATTAATTCTGATGCTTTCATATGCATCTAATTGCCTGTAATCTGAGACTTGTTTAATTAATTTTAAATTTTTAAGATCTATACAATGTTCTTTATCAACATTGTTGATAAAGAACACAGATGATGAACATAGATCAAACACAGTCAGACAATCTAAGTTAGTCTTTCTATTATTTCCTTTTGCTCACTACAGAACAGCAATTCTAATATGTATTATAATCTCTCTCCGACTTAACCATTCACTTCTAGACACATAAATACTGATCCAACACTCTTCCTTGCAAAACCTTATATTGTATTTACACGAAATTACAACACTGTAATATGATACTTTTTTTTAGATGCTCCAATTGTTTCCGTACAAGAATATTTAGTGAATTCTGATCATCTGAACGATGTAGAATTTGTATGTAAAGTGGACGCTTATCCAGCGCCCCAGGTCCAATGGAGGAGGGACAACTCCATCTTAAACCGCAACGAACCGAAAATTAAAATAATGCATGAAGATGGCAATTCCAGAAACACTCTTGTTGTTAAAGGTAACTGATAAAATTTGCAGCTTATGTTTACTAGATGTTGGTCTTAATAACAATAAATGTTTCAGATTTGAGTGAACGCGATTTTGGAACGTATAGTTGTATAGCAACGAACGCTTATGGGAGCGAAACAAAAAATATTTCCTTGGTTAGGATACCTGTTGTGAGGAAGTTAGAAAAGAACATCAACGAATCTACTAAAGATGTGATTTTACAATGGAAAGTTGAGTCAAAGCAAGCCATTACGAGTCACGAATTGCAATACAGAAGGAAAGGGGTAAGTTTAATAAATAATTAGAACAAATTGAATGCACTTTTGGTAGGTATCTTTGTTCTGCATAAGCATAAATGATTTGTTAAGAATGTTTAGATAGTAGAGACTTGCCTTGCTGGGTAAATGGATAATACATTTGTCTGTTCCATATTCTCTTTATTTTTCTTAAATAAGGTGCGTCTTTTTTTTGTTTAAAATGTTTTTAATGTGATTTATAATTTTATTGTGATTTATAATATTTCAAAATTGTTTTTATAAAACGGTTGTAAAAAGTTGACGAACTCCATACACTTTGTGTCAATTTGGATAATAAAAAATTTTATTTTATTTTTATTTATTTATTTCTTTTGAGACGCTACCGGTATTTTTTTTCGTTGAATTCCTGTGGGTAACAAATAAACAATGTTCTAGTTCCACCACGGCAAATGTCATCAAAATGGCAACCTTAGTCGACGGCCACACAGAAAGCGTTTTTTGCGTTTTTAGCGTGAAGCCTCTTTAGCGACTAAAACAAAATAACGGGATTATATAGGAGTGGCCCCACCAAAAGCGTGTAGCGTTCGGCGTATCTCGCAAAAAAACGCAAATGAAACAAATGTGTTTTCTGTAGCGTCTTTAGCGATTTCTAAGATGAGACCCCGTCATAGGCGGACGTTATATTTAATAATATAATAAAAATAAATTAAATAGTATGCATTTTTTTATTTTGGAATATCATCTAAAGATATTTTTTATAGAGAACATCTACTGTTTAGGAAGATTCTATTAAATTCAAAAATTTGAAGATAATGTTTGAAAAAGTGCAGTTTGAAATGTTGAAAAAGTAATAAATTAAAGGAATATTTTCTTACGCGTTAAAAATAGTTTCTTATGCGTAAAAAGTATTTATTTCTGCGTAAAAAAAACGTTTTTAACAGAAACAAGTAGTTTTTGACACTTAAAAATAGTTTTTTACACGTAAAAAATATTTTTTTTGGGTAAAAAAGTTTTTTACCAGAAACAATAAGTTTTTAACGGACAAAAATTAGATTTTTACGTGTAACAAATAGTTTTTTACACGTAAAAAATAGTTTTTTACGTGTAACAGTTTTATTCGCGTAAAATAATAAAAATAGTTTTTTACTTGTAACAAATGGTTTTTTACACGTAATAATTTGAATCACTTTTACAAAATTTGTATTAAAATATCAATATTTTTGATAAACACCGTTAACACGTTTCGTTACAACTAGCTCGTGTGTCAGGGCCGTCTCGCTAGCTCGTATGTCACGGCTTTGAATTTTTACTCTGTGTTTGAACTTGTGTTTGGAAAAAGACAAATTCACAATTTCTATAGCAAATTAAATATAATGATCTATAGAACAGATTCCTGCAAAAATGTGAATTTTGAAAAAAAAAATGTCTCTTGGTACCCTCAGCCTTCGATAATTAGTTTGTTTTTGTCCAGAAATAAGATTTTTCTTAAATTAGTTTTTTATTTTAAAACGATTTTAATGCGTTTGTAAATTTTATATACAGGGTGGCGCCTCTCATTCGACTCGGAAGCTGCAATGAGAACGGTAATTTATATCGAAATGAAATTTTGGGGGCAGATGTAGGTTAATTTAGAGCATTTTTTTAAATATAGAAAGTTCTACAGGGTGTCCCCAAAAAAAGTTACGCATCAAAGTTGTTTTTTATGTAATGGAACACCCTATATATTAATTGATTTTTGGATTTTAGGAAAAAAAATTATGATCATATCATGATATACTTACAAAATTTAATTTCAATACAAGCTGTCTTTCTCCTTGGAGCCTTCGCGTCGTATGAGAGGCGCCATCCTGTACAGTGTGATTGGTCAAGCGCAAATATGTTATAATGATGCCGGAAAATTTTATTATATCAAATCAATATTTTAAAAAGTATTATTTTGTTCCTAAAGGCATTATTAAAGTATAATCTAATACATTTAAATAGTTTATTTAATATTCTTTTCTTCTTCTTACGACGCCGTCTCCTTTCGAAGGTTGGCGATCCAAATAGCTAACGTCATTCTAGATACAGCCATACGAAATATGTCGATTGATGAGCAACCAAACCATCTACGAATGTCCTTTAGCCAGGAATTCTGGCGTCTGCCGATAGATCTTTTGCCCTGGACTTTGCCTTCAATATTAATCTGAGAAGTTCATACTTTTTACCCCTCATTATGTGGCCTATGTAGCGTGTTTTTCTTTCTTTGATGGTAAGCATGAGTTCTTTCTGTTTTCTCATTCGATTAAGAACCTCCACATTTGAAACTCTTTGGACCCATGATATTCTTAATATACGGCGGTAAATATACATTTCGAAGGCATCTAGTTTTTTTTCTAACGATATGTCAAGAGTCCAACTCTCACACCCGTACAGGAGAACTGAAAAAATGTAGCATCTGACCATGCGTACCCGTAGCTCCAAACTCAAATCTGACCTTGTGAAAAATTGTCTCATATTTATAAATGTTTTTCTAGCCTGTTCTATGCGGCTTCTAATTTCTTTCTTCGGGTCGCATTGATCATTTACAATACACCCCAAATACTTGTATGAAGACACTTGCTCTACTGGGTCACCGTTGATATCCAGGTGAATCTGCACAGGTGTTTTGGTGAATGCAAGAACCTTCGTTTTTGTGGTATTTATGAGGAGACCGCAGTTTTCACTATGCCGAACTAATTCATTCATTAGCCTCTGCAAATCTTGTTCATTCTCGGCCAGCACAACTGTATCGTCGGCATACCTGATATTATTGATCACTTTCCCGTTAATCTTAATTCCACATTCGATTCCTTCTAGAGCTTCTTTGAAGATAGCCTCTGAATATATATTAAATAAGAGCGGTGACAGCACACAGCCCTGTCTTACACCTCGTTTAATCGTGATTTCTTCTGACGATGTTCCTTCAATTTTAACCACTGCGTTTTGCTGCCAGTAGAGATTTGTAATCAATCGAATTTCTTCTCTATCTATTCCGGTTGTTTTGAGGACTTCTATAAGTTTTTGATGGTTAACGCAGTCAAAGGCTTTTCTATAATCTATAAAACAAGCGATTACATTGACATTCATGTCTCTGCAACGCTGAGTGATAACGTTTAATCCGAATAACGCCTCACGAGTACCTAGGCCACTGCGAAATCCAAATTGAGTTTCGTCTAGTTGGTATTCGCATCTTTTATAAATTCTGGTGTGAATTATTCTGAGAAATATTTTGAGGACATGGGACATCAGACTTATCATGCGGTATTCATCGCAGTTCGAAGCGTGGGTTTTCTTTGGAAGGGTAATAAATGTCGAGCGTAGCCAATCCGTTGGGATAGTCCCTGTACGGTAGATTGTATTGAATATGAATACCAGCAGTTGCAACCCTTCCGTCCTGTTCAGCCATCAGTTTTATAACTTCGGCATGAATATTGTCTGGGCCAGTTGCTTTTACGTCTTTTTGGGATCTTATTGCGTGAATTACTTCGTCTTTGGTAATTTCAGGTCCTTTTTCGTTCATGTTTTCATCCGCTTTCGGTGGAGTGTTCGGTCTGCTATCATTAAATAGTTCTTCTACGTATTCCTTCCATCGTTGTAGTTTATTCTCTATTCCTAAGATGATGTCATTATTTTGGTCCCGTAAGATAGCTGTGGAACGTTTCTTGTTACAGTTTACCATTTCTTTCACCTTCAATATTCTTTTATACATACTTTTCTTCTTAAGCTGATATTGTATTAGAATATTTTTCAAAAGTTTCAAATAATACATACCGGGTGTTGCATCGTCGAGCGTGACATAGGAAATCCCATGTTAATTTTAATGGGGTCAATTATTGGCTTCCCTAATTATTTTAGAGAATAATTCTACTTAGGTTTATTGAAGAGCACTAAAACCCACATTCAAAAGAATAACTTTAGATATTTTTGATTAGCCCGTTTAGGAGTTATCGCCGATTTCTTTTTAAATATTTCTCCTTTCTTATGGCCCTGTATTTACTTGTGAGCACCAGTCAAGGTAAAAGATAACTGTCAAATGAAGTTGCCATTTCAGAAAATTATCTATTTAGTGCTTTATTATTATTATTAAAAACTCATATCTACATCGAAAATATTAGCCATGAATTACACTACCGAAGAAAAAGTATTGATGATTAAATGGTATTATCAAGGAAATAGTTATCAAAAGTTGTCGGACATGTTTGCTGCTCTGTATCCGAATAGACCGATACCTGGAAAATCTACAATCGCAAGGAATATCCAGAGATTTGAGATCAAAGGTACCCTAATAAATAACTGCAGATGTGAGGCAAGGCAGGAACAAAGAGAAGATGCAAGAAATGATACCGACTTGGAAGTTTTATTGTGCGTGGAAGAGAACGATGGAAAGATCAGTACAAGGAAACTTGAGGATGAAATAGGAATAGATCACACTACAGCGTTTCGAATTTTGAAACGACATAAATACTATTTCTTCAAACATGAAAAGCACCAAGAGCTACGAGATGGGGACGAAATACGGCGGCAGGCGTTTTGTTTTGATATGATGGAAAGAGCAAACACGGATAGGGAATTTTTAAAAAACATATGTTTCACTTTTTACCTTACCTTACGAGTTTACCTTAAATAATGAACCCAATGTTCAAAATTGTCGATATTGGAACAAAGAAAACCAACACAGGTTTGTCGAAACAAGGACGCAATATCCACAGAAAGTAAATGTTTGGGTAGGGATATTCGGTCACAATATTATCGGGCCATTATTCCTTAAGCGAAATTTAAATGCAGAATATTATTTGGAACTACTCGAAAATCATATTTTACCTGCTTTATATGATGCCGCTATGGATGGATGGCTGCCCGGCACTACTAAACCATACAGTAAATTGGCCAGCAAGGTCTCCTGATATTTCGCCAAATGATTTCTTTCTCTGGGGCCATTTAAAAAACAGGATATACAAGGATAAAAAATATCCAAATCTAGACGAGTTAAAAAATGCTATTTCTGCCGAATGCAATAGAATTCCAGTTTACCAACTAGCGAATGTAAGAAGAGAATTTTATGATCGCCTGGGTTATTGTCTAACAGTCGATGGAGGAATATTTGAACATCTTAAATCCTAAAGTTCTAACAATTTAATAGTACCTACATTAATAAGTTATTGAATATTGCAATAATACTATAATTAACCTTGTAACTGATTACTTTATTTTACTTTAATTCATATTAATTTGTATTTATAAATACATCTTTAAGATTTCCGATGTAGGAATGAGTTGTCAATAATAATAAAGCACTAAATATGTAAATTTCTGAAATGACAACTTCATTTGACAGTTATCTTTTACCTTGACTGGTGCTCATATGTAAATACAGGGCCATAAGAAAGGAGAAATATTTAAAAAGAAATCGGCGATAACTCGTAAACGAGCTAATCAAAAATATCTAAAATTATTCTTTCGAATGTGGGCTTTAGTGCTCTTCAATAAACCTAAATAGAATTATTCTCTAAAATAATTAGGGAAGCCAATAATTGACCCCATTAAAATTTACATGGGATTGCCTATGCAACACCCGGTATATAGAAGTAGTAGTGTTTTGCCAACTATAGTGTAATTAGAAATTTGATTTTTAATTAGAACATTACGATTATTTTTTTTTTCATTTAGAGTACACTTCTGATTGACTGAATGACTGATCGATATTATTAACGTATTGTCTTTTTTTATAGGAAACTACGTGGAAAACAATTAGTCCGGCCGTCAGTGCTGGAGAAAACGATGTTTATTTGATCAAGCACACATTGAAAAATTTGGACCCCGGAATTTACGAGACCCGAGCCCGGTCGAAAAATTCTCACGGGTGGTCCAACTACTCGGAAATAATGCCATTCGAAGGAAGTAAGTACTGCGTTTATTGCCTAACTTTTGATGACTTTTTTGATTGGTTTTTAACATCGCCACTTAATATTCAAAACGTTCACATAAATGTACGCACACATAACCCATTCACATTATCTGCAATTCATTGTTTCTAACGTGTTTCAAAAATACATTTTATGTTTTAATTATTGTATCATTTATAAATATGTATTACTTTATACGCGTGTTTAGAAATATGGTCATAGTAAACCATTAAGGTGAAGGGGTGAATTATTGAAGCATGGCACGTTGTTTTTTATAATAATAATTGTAATCTTCCATTAAGGTCAATCACTTAGTGAAGCTAGTAAACTATAATTTCACTATTTTTAATCATGTGATTTAAACTAAATTAAAACCAGAAACGACAAAACTAATAAGGGAAAGAAGAAAGACTGACAGATATGCCCCAGAATATGACACCTTAAATAAAACAACTAAAAGAGAAATAAGAAAAGATCTTAGGGGTTATAAGAGAAACCAAATTTTGAAATAGAAGCATGAAAGTGTTAAGACGCAAGCAAATGCGCGGAAAACAAAAAATAATAAAAATAAGAAACACACATGGCACGATAACAACAGACAAACATGAAATTAGAAATGAAAGTCACAAATTCTACGAACAACTTTATCAGTCTGTTATACCAAACAAAGATAGAGTACAAAAACACATCACAAACGGAGGATCAGAAGATATGCCAGAAATATCAACCACAGAAATTAAATACGCACTTCAACAAATAAAAAATGGCAAAAGCCCAGGAGAAGATCGTATTACACCTGAAATTCTGAAGATGGGCGGAAAACCATTAGTGGATGCCGTGGAAGTATTGTTAAATAAATGTCTGATGGAGGGTAGAATCCCGGACGCATGGAAAAACGCAGAAGTTGTGCTATTATACAAAAAAGGAGATTTTACAAATATAGAGAATTATAGACCAATAAGCCTTCTCTCGCATCTATACAAGCTCTTCATTAGGATTATCAACAACCGACTGTCTACGAAACTAGATTCCTATCAGCCAATAGAACAGGCAGGCTTTCGAAAAGGTTTTAGTACCATCGATCATCTACAAACAATTAAAACAGTCATTGAAAAAACAACAGAATACAATATACCTCTACATTTGGCCTTTGTAGACTACCAAAAAGCCTTTGACAGCATCGAAACCTGGTCATTTCTAGCTGCAATGGAGGACGCGAGAATTGATTCCAGATATTATTCCATTATTAAAAATATCTATGATAGTGCAACCTTCCAAGTTAAATTAGATGATGACCTCAAAACAGAAAAAATACTACTCGGCAAGGGCGTGAGACAAGGAGATACCATCTCTCCCAAGTTATTTACACTGGCACTGGAAAATGTCTTCAAGAAATTAGAATGGGAAAATAGAGGTCTAAACATCGATGGGGTACACCTTAGCCATCTGAGGTTCGCAGACGATATTGTCTTGCTGAGCACCGACATTCAAGAACTAAACACCATGCTAAATGAGCTAAATGACCAATCCCAGAAAATTGGCCTTAAAATGAACTTGAAGAAGACCAAGATAATGAGCAACAATATCCATAACATTACCGTTGACAACGTTATTATTGAAAACGTAGACCATTATATATATTTAGGTCATAAAATCAAGCTGGGCAAGGAAAACCAAAATACGGAGATCAAACGCAGGATCCATTTGGCATGGGTAGCATTTGGAAATATGAGCAATATTTTCAAGGATAAAAAGGTGCCCATGAACCTAAAGAAAAAGGCTTACGACAGCTGCATTCTACCTGTGCTTACGTATGGCTTAGAGACTATGGCAATTACCCGAAAAACAGCAGAACAACTACGAGTAGCACAAAGAGCCATGGAAAGAATCATGTTGGGAGTCACCATTAGGGAAAAATACGGAATACCCACATACGCCAAAAAACAAAATTAATAGATGTCGTTAAAAAGAGTGGCAAGTCTGAAGTGGCAATGGATAGGACATGTGGCAAGACAGGATCCAGACCGATGGCCCCAAAAAATAATCCTATGGAGACCTAGGGGAACAACAAGAAGTGTGGGCCGACCAAAAAAGAGATGGGTCGATGACGTCAGGGCAGTGGCGGGAAGACAATGGATAAGATTGACTAGAGATCGCGAAGCATGGCAAAACCTAGAAGAGGCCTATATCCAACACTGGATGGAACCAGGCTGAGAAAGAAGAAAGAAGAAGATTTAAAAAACATCAATTTTCATCCAAATATTGACGTTACTTCAGAAATTATTTGGAAAAAATAGAAATAAAAATGAAACTTCTACACCCTGTATCACCGAAACTAAGCATTTTAGAACATACATTTATAAGAACTGTTTTACTTATTTTTATCTGCAGAATATGTTGCCAAAGTTTCCGAAATACATTTCGGACCACCCTATATATTCATCAATTTAAATGTTGGACCGATTTTTGAAGTAATTTCGTGTGAATCGATTAGACCGCTAAACGCAGGGATTTATTTTAAAATGTATGTATATGTGACAAAAATTCGCTGTTCGAATACATATCATTCGCAAAGTATAGTGCCAGAACTAGGTTCTTCTGATATAGAGACTTTATCTTCATTCCCGAGAATCTGTAGTCGTTAAAGTGTTTTGGTTTTGGTGAATTGAATGGTATGGCTAATTTAGAGTTTTATTTTGCTGTTAACCAAAGATTCTTACCCTCAACTATAATTTTGATACTAAAGATTTACAATTATATTCAACAGCGGAAATAAATATAAAGTACAGGGTGGCGCCTCTCATACCCCGCGGAAGCTCCAAGGAGAACGGTAGTTTTTATCGAAATGAAATTTTGGCAGCATATGTAGGTTAACTGAAAGCATTTTATAAAAATATATAGAATTATACAGGGTGTCCACAAAAAAAGTTACACATCAAAGTTGTGTTTTTTCTAATGGAACACCCTATATATTAATTGATTTTCCGATTATACGAAAAAAAATAAATGTGAGTTTTATTAAAGAAGCATATACCTAAAATCTAAGGATTTTGACATATTTTACATTTTGTGAAAATGTATAGTAAATTTTTAATTTTGATAACAGCTACCTAAATTTTAGTTGACCTTGTATAGCCCGATATTTAATTACAGTAACCATTGTATGTTAAACCAAATTGAAATTTGACTCGAAAATTTATACAGGGTAAGACAAAATTAATATGGAAAATTAGTCACTTTTAAAAGCAAGTTACTCCTTTATTTTAAATGGAACACCCAGTATATTTGTTCGGTGTTCAATGAGGAATTTATATATCCTCAAAATATTATTAAGGTTGCCTACCGCTCAGACAAAGATTTTCCCAGATATTTTAATTTTTATGATTTTGCCTCAGTAAATCTTTATTATTTGTAAAAAATCTAGGTGGCTATGTGATATACCTTTTGTTAATTTAACAAAAATTAAAGATTGTAGAGTAAAATACTCAAGGGTAATAAAAAGATACGCGTTTAAAACATAATTTAATTACTATTACAGAATTAAAACTATATATACCTACCTATAATTATGCGACAAAAATTAGCTGGATGAAATCAAATGCTCATAATGCTTCCTTTCCTGTTAACTGCATAAAATGATTGTCTTTTCAAAAGGATCTTTTCATTTTAAAAGGCATATGTGGAGTTCTACCTCGAAAAGCAGCTACGATAATTTCTCTCATGTTGTCGACACTAGTTGGGCGAGTTTTGTAAACACTGTCTTCCCCATAAGGAAACACAGACTAGATAAAATCAGGAGTATTTAAGTATTCTATTAATTGGTGAATGCACACTGCATTTACCACCTAATAGAACCATATCAATTATCTCTGATGTAGGATAAGTTTGCAAATTTCTGAGAATTTTCTTTGTTTTAACTGACATAGGGTGTTCCATTACAAAAAACACAACTCTGATATGTAACTTTTTTTGGGGACCCCTGTAGAACTCTCTATATTTTTAAAAAGTGCTCTGAATTAGCGATGGGAACTGTCGAATGAATTAGACTATCGAATGGTTACTGAATGAATGATTTCAACTATCCAATGGTTTTATTCGAATAAAATCATTCATTCATTTGTATACTAAAGCATATGTGACAACCTCGCCGTGCGACTAAATGGTTATCGTTGAGCCACGACTATCGAATGCTTTTGATAAATGAAATTTAGTATTCGTTTGATTTTTGTGTGCGTCAGTGCATTATTAGTTCTTCCAAATTTTTATAACTTCGCCTTATAAATACTGTACTATTTTTGCGTTTATTAAAATATTTAAGATATTAAAATAGTAGTTTTTTTAATTGACGATTATGTGCGTGTGCAGGTGTCAAAATTTTCCCGAAAATTTGTGTGATTTTCCGTAGCCCGATCTTTCAATTATTTTATTTTATATGGTATATGGTCTATTTTTTAATGGAAAATTTTGAGAAGTAGCAATTTTTAAGAGAGATGAGATGAACTTAGAATTAATTTTAAAAATACATATTTGTTTTTTAGATGTTTTAATAATATGAATTAGTTGAACTTAATAATCATATTTAAGTAATGTGGTTAAGTAAATGTGGGGTGAGAAAATTAAATTGAAAGTTTTACACTTGCCAATTTAAAAAAAAGATGTTTGTATTTTGTTTATGCTAATTCTCTTACATGTAGTTTTTTGCAAAGAAATATTTCATTTATTTTTTAAAGTAAATGCCAGTAAAAGTAAATATTATTTTTAAATAGTAATATAAAGTAATAAAAAGTAATATAAATAATTTTGATTTCTAATTTTTTATTTATATTTTCCTTCCATTACCCTGCTTGCTTAGAAAATTAATAAATGTTTATATTTCATGATTTTAAAATTTGTTGTTGATATAACAAATTAGTTCTGTAATTATTATTATTTAATAAACCAACGTTGCCACATTTAGAGACTATATTATTACAGTTGAGGGTTGGAACCTTTGGTGTTAAACAGCAAAATAAAAACACTAAATCACCACAATACACCAAAACACTTTTACTTTTACACTGCAACAGTGTAAAAGTAAAAGTGTTTTGGTGTATTGTGGTGATTTAGTGTTTTTATTTTGACTATATTATTTTTAAATAGGATCTAATATAAATACTTTTGACTTCTATTTATTGTTTATATTAAGCTGCTACTTAAAAAAAAAGTTTATATTATTAAATGATTTTAAATTTTGTTGTTAATAGGTATCACAAATTATTACTGTTATTATTATTTATTAAACCAGTCTTTGCTTAAAAACATTAAAAATCATTTTCCTACATCCAAAATAAAAAGTATTATTGCAGTGTAACAACAGAATATTAATAAAAAAATGCAAAACATATAGACATACTATCCCTAACTAACTAATGCTAAAGAATAATTTTCTTGCTAAAAGGCTAATATCAACTAATATGAATATATGGCAACAGCGCCCTTCATAATGTATTTTCTGTGTAAATACTAGCACCTCAATAAAAAAATTAATGTGTCCTTATCTTTATTTGACTCCGCAAAAAATCAAAGATGCCCGCTTCTTTCATAGCATTGCCACCGACCGCTGTCGGGTTTCTCGGAAAGAAACCTACGTCGCCGGGCGACAACTAAAATCCATACTAACTATCGAATTATTCGAATGAATTGCAACTATCGAATGTTTCGATAGTATTCATTCGATAGTTCCCACTACTACTGAATTAACCTACATATGCTCACAAAATTTCATTTCATTACAAACTGTCGTTCTCCTTGGAGATGAGAGGCGCCACCCTGTATAATATTAACTGTTTTATTTCATAATATATGTTTATAAAAACAAATCAACTTTAGCACTTTAGTGGTTTACTCTGAACATATATTGTATATATTTAATTTGGCTAAAAATGTATTCTTTTTTACCGTATGCCAACTCCGGGAAATAATTGCAAATTCCAATACCGTTTACATCATTTAAATTTCTGCATTCCAATGATTGCGGACAAATGAGCAATATTTGATTGAAACAAAAGCTGTAACATCTATATCAATTACATCATTTCGCGAATTTTCATCTGTATTTGTGTTTTTGTTTGCTTATGTGTTCTTTTTCTGCACATTTTTTAGCTAAGCATGGCGCACATCATCAGAAATCAAAGCACAACAAAAAAGAGCCGAAACCAAAAGCTCAAGGTACTTGTTTACACATTGTTTAGTAAATTAACTATGTCTGATATTAATAATAGGTAACAAGAAGTTTTGGGAATATTTTTTAACCTTTTAAAACAAAATTTAGTGGAAAATGAAGAATCGAGTGAAGATTTTTTTTTTGAATAAGGTTATTTGTAAACTCGGAGTTTTTAAGATTATAATAAAATTTTATCAAAGAGCTATTTGAAGTTAAAAATTCAAAAAACAATTCAAAAACAATATTAAAACAAAAAATTAGTATTAATTATATCAAAAATAATAAATAATTGAATAGATATAATCAAATAGTATTTTCTGATCAAAATAAAACTTTTACTGGGATAATTGATGTATATTTTGCATTAATTAACACAACAAATTAATTTAATCATTCATCATCGTTGTATATGACCATCAAACAAACACTTAGGCATTGTTTTTCTTAATTTATTCAATTTTGTTGCTGTACTTACATTTTAATGTCACTTTTATTAAGTGCATTTTAATTTTCTTTTATTTTATTATTTTTTTTTCACCACAGATCCATCACTAGATACGCCTGCACAGCATAGAAGCGAAGGAACGGTTGGAGGTAGTTTAATTTTTCTTTATTAGCATCATTAATATTATGGTATATCGAAAATTTTAAAAATAATTCATAGACTCATTACAGATAAATATTTTTGTAAAACAATGATAAACATAATACTCTAACAATAGTCTAAGAGCTTGCTACGTTTTCGAGAAAGTATGTTAAGACGTCTGGTTCTTTGATATATCTTTTATTATGCTCTCTGGAACAGCGTGCAGGCCGTCTGGCCAATGCCTTCTATTAAAAGATCAGCCTACGGGCGGACTTTTGTTTACTTCATCAGCTGTACATACTTAGATATTGGGTTAGATTCCGTTTCATATTTTGTCGGTTGATTTTTGGTTTTAACTCTTTGATTTTTGGTATTATTTATTATTGTAGTGCAAAAAACTAATTATTTTGGTACCGGCTGGGGTGCAACTTTTTTATTTTTTTTTCGTTTATATTCTGATAGTAAAGTATTAAATATTTGCTTTTTTATCACCAGAACGGATAGCGTTTATGGGTTTATGATCCGTAGTGTATATAAGTAGAATTTGATACTTTCATTTGTTTTGAAGGATTATTGTAGTAATCAATTATTAGATAGGTTTAGGATGATCTGGCTGCCGCGCCGGTAGGTTGCGTTCACTACTGCGCATCACATGGGTACAGGGTGTCTCATTTTCGTGCGTTTTTTGGGATTTGGGATATCTGGGATTTCTCGTTTATGAGTGGAGATACAATGATGCGTTTTTTTTCGCATGCTACACTTTGCTAGTTTTTTATGTACCTAACTAAATATTCTACCTTTAGATTTGCTTATTTTCTACACATTAACATTAATCAATCTTGTTTAAAAAGTATTATTATTTTATTTAATTTAATTTAACCAGATAATTTTGTTTTCCATCGTTATCTTAACAAACTGAACTGAAAATAAACTTGTGTAGCTTTTAGATAACAATCTGTGACGATTTTTCTGTCGTTACCCAAATAGAATGAAAAAAAAAATCCGTTGCTCAGGGTTAGAGGAAAACTGGGTTCGTAGGTAAGGCTTCTGACTCACAGTAACTTTCTAATGTTGTTAAAAAATAAAAAAAATGATAATATATAGGCTGCAGAGATTTTAATATTGATGTTAAGAATTCAAATAGGTATGGTCAAAGACAGTGAAAAGGGCGCCACTTACTTTGTTTATGAGAGTGGTAAAGTAAGAAACCAAAAAGAAAATTACGATATCACAACATAGCTAAAATAAGGTAATCAACAGCATTAAGGGTCTATTATGTTTATCAGGAATAAAAGTCAGAAATAACTATCCTACATTAAACATTTATTGAAAACGAACACAAGTATCATCAATTAGTCACAGTGATCCCAATAAAACCGCAAGTTATTTTAAATAGATTCGAATTTAGTAACTATTCTTTGAACTAAGTAAGCTACTTGATAAAAACAGGTGAAATTTATGTATGTCTCAATACGATGATGTTTCGAAACATGTCGTGTACAAAAACCTTTAAAATGAATACATGTTAATAATTTTCATATAAAATATCATAGCTAAGTAAGAGTGTACTGTACGAATCAAATTATAACTTATAACGTTAAATAAAAAATAATTTTGACTACAATATGTGGGATAATTAGTGATAATTTACCAGGTTATTAAATCTGTTGTCTCAAAATTTATAAAATAAAAGCGTACCTTGTGCATCAAACTTAAGAGAGAGACTTATCTGTATATAGTTTCTTATGATGTAAACAGGTAGGTAGGTATTCTCCAGACTAACAGAAGTGGATGCAGATGACTATGGCAGGAGAAGTCTTCATCAGCCAAAAAGAACGAAAGTCCGTCGTGAACCCGTTCATTAAATGGCTACTTGACTATTGTTGACTGTGTAATGTCAGGAACACTGTCTTAAGGTCTGCATAGATCCATACAAAATGAAAGTGGGTGAAACATACAATAATTACTGCATTATTACTGCATACCATGTGGTAATTACTGAGTACCATGTGGTAGTTAATGGATAAGTGAATAAAAAAAAATCGTTGATATCGGTTAAGAAATGCCTCTAATATAAAATAATTAAATATTGTTAATTTAAATGGCCTGGCAAACGCTCTCTACCGCGCCTTGCCGCTGTGACGTCACCCGCCGTTCTTCTGGTTGAGTGGAGCCAGACGCGTGTTTATTTTACACAGTTTGCTTTTAAACGCTGTTGAATCCGAGTCAAAATTTTAGTTATTTGGGTTAATTAATACATAATTAATATTTAGTGATATTTATAAATAGTAATGGATGAGCGAAAACAGAAAAAAATGGTCCAAGGCCATGAGAAGAGATGAAAAGAAAAACGTTAAATTATCCTCTATTTTTACGATTTATTGTTGTGAAGATCATTTTGATGTAAGTTCATATATTTATGTATATTGCCTTACATAGGTATATGAAATTTGAATGTGTATAGGGTTATTCATTATATTTTGACATCCACATACAGCCTTAACTGCAAGTTTTAGAAGAAAACATTAAATAAAAAAGTTGCATGGTTTTTCATATACTCTCTTTTAAAATTAATTCTAGATATACAGGGTGTCTCAAAAAAGGTGGTCCAGAAAATTGTAGGTATTTTTCGCTTTTCAACTGTCAATATTTCGTAAACATTTGAAGATAGGTATAGGATATTATACATGAAATATATCTAGAATATGTAGAAATTTCCGAAGAACCCAAAAATATATAGGGTGTTTCACTTAAAAAAGTAACTTAATTTTGGCGTTTGCTTATGGGACACCTTGTATAATATTTTTATTACTGATAAACAATTTATTTCCTATAATTTCTTAAAAAAAACAATCTTTAAAAATAACAAAGGTAAGGGGGTGTCAATATATAAAAAAAAACTTTCTTTTTCACGCTATGCTCTGGAGTTACTTTTCCACGTACTAAACAAATATTTTTGTCTCTTTTTACTTCTACATAACCTACAGCATTATCTCCATACGTCTCCCTATCTGATCCGAAAAATAAGTTTATAACATTAATATTTATAACTATATAAATGTTCGTAACAGTATAGGTACCTACTTATACTTAAATATGCCTCAGTACTACAAAGAATAAATGTTCCATACCTCTCTGTTTTTTTCCTCGTAATTCAGCACTAATAAATTGGGAATTTGTATTTATAAAAGCAGCCAACATAAAAGCATCGACTTTTGGCTAGTTATCTGATTGTGCTTTTACAAACCCGGAATCTGCCATTACTTAAAAATTCTCAGAACACACAACACATACAAATAATAACTGCACAAAAAAGCATAAAAAGCTCCTTCAATCAACGCTAAAAGCAACAAAAATGTCTTAGTACGCCACCTAAATACGTATATAAACGGAACACGTCTGGCTGCTGCTGGCCATCGCGCGTTGACGAAAACGGCGGGTGACGTCAGACCAATAGAATATCGTTTCAATTCGCGAGGCGTCGTTTGCGTTGTCCATAGTATTTTAATGGCCCGTTTTATAAAATTGTGGTACTGCTTTCAAGAAAAAAGTTTTTTTTTTGCATTTACACATATTTATTCTAATAAATTGAACAGTTTCTGGCGAAAAATAAAATATATGCATCTTCCTCATTATGCAAGAAAATACTGTAATAGCGTAGAAACCTTAATTAAACATGTCAAATTGTCCACGTGTTTTTTTTTATCATTGGAAAACCAGAAACTTTCATAAAAAGTTAAACTTAAAAACTAAAATTTTCGATATATCATATTCAGTTTCATATTTTTATTAATGACGTTATACACTGTTGCTGTATTAAATCTAAAATCATATATTTTTTTCAGAATCCGTCTCTGCAAGTACACACCTTTATTCATCAACGTGCCTACTAAGTGTCGCTACGTTCTTCCTAGTATACTTCCAATTTAGGCAACTATCGTAGGATTCAAATTGGGAACAAATATGGAAAATATAATTTATTTTTATCCACGAACTGTATCCTAGGCAGCTTGTAACTGGGAGAACTGTTATTTTGAAGAAAAAAAATAAAACCAAAGTATTTAATATTTAATAGGGCTTACAAACTACTTGAATATATTCATTTTCCAAAAAAGAAATTGTAGAGGTTAGCAAACTTTTAGCAGATGTTTAATTTGTATTTATTTTTGATATCATTTAGATAACGTCATTCTTTACATTATAATTAATAGACTTGTTATGTTATAGGATTATTATTAGCATCTAATTTAAAATACCCATTTTTGTTCGATATATGTATTTATCTAATTCGGTTAACAAAAATCAGCTGTGATTTTTTAATTGTTTTATACAAAATCAAATGTATCACAGACAATCTTCGACTACACCCTTAATGCCATAATAATGTAATTAATAGAATAGCATTTTATTATTATTTATGTATAATTTTAGTTACCTAAACTACTAGGAGTAAAAAGCAAGCTATTTTTTTATGTGGTCAGTATTTATTATTTTTTTGTAACAAGAATTCTGAGTTTAAAACACATTAATCATTTAACTCTCTAGATTCTAAAACTATTTTTTTGTTTTCGGTCATGAGAAAAAAATATTTGGAAACGCTTAAAAAAATTCTGAGCGCTGTATAGCTATCATAATTTCTTAGTAATTAGAATATAGATGAATTAATAGTTCTTTAAATTTACTTGTACAAAGCTTTTAATTTTTTTGATTGTTTACAGTGTGATGTGTAATTTATGATATCTACTTTTAGATTTCCTTATTTTTAGGTTTTAGCTTTAACTATCATATATTTATCATTTATTATCACATAAGTTATTAGGTTTACACCCTTTAAGATATCGGATGTTAATATCATGCTCTTGTATGCGGGGTGGCCCATCGAAAACGTTCCGCAAGGCATAACGGCCAGAGTATTTTTTTTTTCAAAAAATTCTAAAAATAAACTTTATTTTACTTTATTTTAAAACGTCTTCGTTGAGTTCTTGTACCAACTGAATCTTGTAGGGGTGGAACTTTGTTTAATATCCTTTGGACGGTTGTACGATTCACGCCGGTCTCATTGGCTAATTTTATTGTACTCAGCGTACTTGGCAACTTGGCCTAATACGAATACCTTCCATAGCTCCATTTAATACAGGATTTTCACTCTGCCTCTTTTTATTCATAACGGAACCAGTTTCGCGAAATTTTGCTGCTAACTCACGAACAATTTTGCCATAAAGGTGTTTGTTAGGATGGCGTTCATTGAATATCTGCGCAACCCGATTGCCACATTCATTATTTTTAAAATAAAGTTCGATTATTTCTACTTTTTCTGCAAGTGGGTACACCATAATTGTTAAAAAGTTTAACGGTATTGAGAAGAACTTCAACGCACAAGTCACAGAACAGCCAAAGTTTACAGAATAAAATATAAGTTCGGTCACTTAGCATCGGCACTTTGAAGATCGCGTATCAAAAGCCAGAAGCCGCCTCGTCCGATACGCCGGATTTCGATGAAAACAGGAGTGGAAGCCGGGGTAAATAGAAGCCGAATTTTTACCGATCGCAATGTGCGACAAGGTGCAGGGGAACGTGGGGTATTTCAAAAATACCTAATGGTAAATCTACAAAAGAAAAAATATACCATCAGTTTATTGGTGTATTACATATAAATATTTAGACATGGCAAGATAAAAAAAGATAAAATACATTTTAAAAACAAACACAAAAAATAAAGCTACACAATATCAACAGTAAATAATGTAAAAGTATATTACGTAACGAGTGTTTTGGAAAAAATAATATTACGCACGAGTGCAGTATTCCATGAGTGCGTAATATGGTTTTCCAACACGAATTACGTACACTAAAAAATTCAAAGCTGATACTATTAAATGTCAACAAATTTTGATGTTTAAATGGTATCCTCGGTATTTTTTTTACGTTATTCGATAGAAAATGATACTCTGAGTAGAAAGACATATCATATCTCAGCTTTTAACAGTTTCACATAAGATTTATTTGAAAGTGTAACACGCGGTTTATAACGACAATTTGACTCGAAATACCAAGTGTGTGGCATGAAATTATTCGTAAAAAAATACTTTTTCCAAATATACTAATGAGCAATCCTCTTTCCATTTGAAAAAAAATAAGATATGGTTAAAATTACCATTTGGACATCTTTTAACCGGCCAAGACAAGACATGGAAAACATTAGACGATCAAATCTATTTTTTCCTGGACTCCTCGATTAAGTTTTGTTTTTAAAAGAGCTATGGCACTCAATATTGAAATTTTAAAAAAAATTTTTTAAGCTAGAATGCCAAAAGTTGACATATGATATGTCATTCTATTCAGAGTGTCATTTTTTATCGAATAAAGTAGAAAAATGCCGAGGTTGCCGTTTAAAAATCAAAAGTTGTAGTCATTTTCGGTGAAACCGGAAGTGACCGAAAAAAATTTAAAACGTTAATCAATCCTAATTTAGGTCATATACTAACACACCAAATCTCGTTTTTTTATCTGAAAAAATAAAAAAGTTATAGGGGATAAGCCACTTTTGAGACACACCCAGTATATGATTTTTCGTGTAAAAAAATTAAGTGTTCTTGAATAATTCTAATTAGATATTTTAAATATTTTTTTTTCCAGTGGCGAAAAACTCAATATTATTTTTAAGAAATAATAAAAATAATTATGCTTTTTTTATAATAAACTAATAAATAATTAACTAAGGCTAATGTGATCAGTAACACTTTGCAATGAAAATTAAATAACCACTTGAAAAATAATTCCATATGCATGCGAGACCACTCTGTAATAACGCCAAAATCAGAGTAATACGCCAAACGTGATCCGCCGTGTATGCTGGGTCCAAAGTCCACACACCAGTAATACACTGGGAAACACGTGCGTGAAGAGGCTTTTGATACCTGCCGCCGGCACAAGTGACCGAACTTATATTTTATTCAGTAAACTTTGGAACAGCTATCTAGCAACTACCGCACCTGATCGTTCAACCTTGTGGCAAGTGAAAAAATGCGAAAACATCTAGAAATAATAACAAAAAACAGCAAATTGGTCGAAGGAATTTATCCTCATCATTTACTCTGATAAATGTTTAAATAAACTTTTCAAATTTCAATCCTTCATATTTTCTCAATGACTCGACCGATTTTCAAAAACGGAGCGGGAAAGTTAGATAATAGAAAGCCCTTTTCACTGCGGTACCACTTGACCCCCTTCCCATTTGGAAAAAATTGGGGGATGACACCCCCGCTCAGAGGGTTGAAGATTTTGCACTCATTTTTGAAGCAAAAGTTGTCCCCCTCACAAACAAAATTGACGTGTTTTTGAATTTTCTGAAAAAAAATTACCCTGGCCATTATGCCTTGCGGAACGTTTTCGATGGGCCACCCTGTAATATAAAAAATCTCCTGTAACGCTCTAGGGAACATGTTTTTACTCTTTCACATCAGAAAGTTTATATCGACCTACACGAATTGCTTTTTAGAAAAATATAGTAAGAATAACTGTTTATCCTTTACTAAAAAATAGAAATAATATATCTCTCATTCAAGACTGCATAATAATCTGATTGTTCCCAAATTAATTTTAAAACATAACTGAGTTATACTGATGAAATTAAATTCTTACAGATGTTTTCTTAGTTGTATGAAAATACATTTTTTAAGAATCATATGCCTTCCATACCTTCATAAAGAGAAAAAAAAACGAAACTTGTGCAAATCTATTTTATTATTGAGTAGGTATTTAACAGTTGTTGCTTTGATATGATTAAGTAATCAAGAGAACATCTTTAAATACGATTATTTTAAAAGTTCTGAAACAAGCATTTCCGACCAAATCATTTTTACATAAATTTTTATAACAATATACCTAAATTTATTTTGAACCCTTTAAATATATTATTTTAGAATTTTTAAAATAATCTAGTATTTAAATCGAGATGTTATAAAACAATGTATATGATGTATAGAAAAAATATATGACATTATTAAATCAGTGGAATTCTTATTTTTCCTCTCTAATTTTTATTAAATTAATAAAATTAGCAAAATAAAACACTAATTCACCACAGGCAGAGGTGTGTATTATCCCCACTCCTTTTCAACATAGAGAGCGTTGAGGATGGTATCAAAATCAATGGTACCCTGATCAACAATATTCGCTTCGCAGATGATACGGTCGTACTGGCTGGAGTGGCTGGCAACATTCTACACCTTCAGGACATGATGGACTGCATCGTTGAACATAGCATGCAGTACGGATTACATACATACATACAGCCGTTACTCGCTGACAAGTATTCGACACACATAAAGAAGATGGTCACGCAAGGCGTTTTCTTTCATGAGCTTTTCTGTGACTGAAAAGCCCGATACGTGATGTTATTTGCCTACCGCACTCCGGACATTCAAAAATCTCATTGCTTTGTTGCCTCTTTACTTTTTGGTTGCCGCTGTTAACTGAGTTTACAACTCTTCTCCATTGAGTTCTATTGTGAGCTGCCTTTTTCCACTCATTCTGCATGTTAATTCCCTTTAAGTTTTCGTGGAAAATGTCCTTGTACCTTTTCAGTTGTCCACCCGGCCTCCTCTTACCGTCTACAAGCTCACCGTAAAGCAGAGATTTTGGTATGCGGTTTTCTTGCATTCTGCATACGTGACCAACCCATCTTAAGCGAGATTTTGTAACCATGACTTCAATACTCTCGCAGTTAGCTTTTTCAAGGACCGATACGTTTGAGACATGATGGAACCACCGGACTCTTAAGAGTTGTCTAAGGTATCTTTGTTGCAACTTGTTTAATGCGTTCATGTGTCGGCGGTACGGCACCCAGGTTTCGCTCCCATATAACATGGTGGGGATTATAATTGCTCGGTAGACTGCAAGTTTTGTTTTTATACTCAAGTCATGATTGTAGAAAACCCTGTCTTTTAATTTCCAGAATGCTCTTGAGGCGCTACTAATCCTGTGCTGAATTTCAGAGTCGATATTGGCCTTTTCCGAAATCAAACTGCCAAGGTAAATGAATTCCGCCACATATTCCAATAGTTCTCCGATTTTTATAGCATTGTTGCGATCTTCCGGGGGAGTGCACATGATTTTAGTTTTGTCGATGTTTAGCTTAAGGCCCAAAGCCTCGTATGCCCAGGTATATGTGTTCAACATCTCTTGTAATTGCTGTACCGTGTTTGCAACTAGAGCGCAGTCGTCAGCGTATTGAAGTTCTGTGATAAATTTTGTACGTGTTTTTGCCCTGAGTCTTTTTATGTTGAACAGACCGCCGTCATATCGGTAACTAATGCCCAATCCTCTCTCCTGCAGTTTGCTGTCCACTATAATGGAGAGCGCTGCCATGAATATGTTGAATAGGAGAGGCGCTAAGACACATCCCTGCCTAACTCCTGTGTTTGTTAGGAATGGGTCGCTCAGTGATCCATGATGTGACACTCGTGACTTGTTGTTATGGAGGCTTTTACACACTGTAAGAAATTTGTTGGGTACTCCGAACTTTTTCATAATTGCCCAAAGCGCATCTCTGTTCACAGAGTCGAAGGCTTTTGTTAGATCGATGAATGCAACATAAAGTTTAGACTGCTGCTCTTTTACTTTTTCCTGTAGTTAACGGATGGAAAATATGGAATCGACGGTGCCGCGGTTGGTACGAAAACCCGTTTGCGATTCTGGAAGGATTTTTTCTATATATGGGTACAGGCGGTTTGACATTATTTTAGCAAGAATTTTTCCGCCGATAGCCAATAGCGAAATTCCCCGGTAACTTCCGCAATCTGATGCACTTCCTTTGTTCTTAAATATATTCACTATATTCGCGTTGCGGAAGACCTGAGGTACCTCTCCGCTTTCCCATACGACATAGAAGAGAGCCATAAGATGACCAATATGGAAGGGGGTTTCGTAGTACGGATTACACGTCAATGTTAACAAAACTAAACTTGTTGTATTTTCCAAAACACCGGAAAAGACTGTCTTCAGAATTAACAACAAGGTAGTAGAACAAGTATCGTCCATAAAGTATCTAGGAGCCCTCGTTAGCGACGCTTGCGACCCCAAAACTGAAATTTTAGCTAAGATCGAACAGGCCAGACGTACTTTTGCTTCCATGAAAACCCTCTTCTCCAGCCGAGATCTAAGCCTCGAACTGCGCATACGTATGCTGCGTTGCTACATCTTTGCAGTATTTCTCTACGGCTCTGAGAGTTGGACACTCAATCAGACATTGGAAAACCGCATTAACGCTTTTGAGATGTACTTGTATCGTCGTACGCTGCGTATATCCTGGATGGGTAGGCGGATGGTGCTCAGGCGGATGGGCTGGCAAAGATAAAGAGCTGCTACCAACAGTGAAGAAAAGGAAGTTACAAAAGGAAGTACGTCGGTCACATCATGAGGGGTGATCGATACGAGGTGCTCAGACAGGTCATTGAAGGCAAAATCGAGGGCAGGAGGTCAGTGGGAAGAAAAACAAACAAACAAAACTCCTGGCTCAAGGATCTGCGTCGTTGGTTCAGAGGAAATTGGAAATTTTCAGAGGTGCGGTTTCACGCACTATCATAGCCAGTTGGATCGCCAACCTCCGAAGGGAGACGGCGGCCTAAGAAGAAGAAGCAAAAGAATTCACCACAGTACACCAAAACACTTCTCTTATGTTTCGCTAACCACGTTAACATCATTATCAGTATTGCAGTGTTTTATTTTGTTGTTTTAACACCAAAGGTTCCAACCCTCAACTATAATTAATGAAATTCCACATTTAATTCTTATTAATTACACTGTATTTTAATAAAAAAAATAAATGCTAAATGCTAAAAAATTGAAATACAGTGTATTTGAAAATCTGTTGTCGAGAATTTTAGAAAACTCTTGTTTGATGACTTTGTTTCTTTAATGTCTAACGTTCTTCTCTTTGTTTCCTAATTTTTTAAACCATACAAAATGTTTAAAGCCATTTATTTGAAATACATTTAAAATGTTATGTATGATTTATACAGGGTCCGGCAAAAGTGCGTCGGGCATCTGTAGCTCCTAGAATAAGAAACTTGAGAATTTTGTTTAAGTGCAAACCTAAAGTATGTGTCAGGAAAATATTTTAACTTCTATAGGGTAGCTCAAAAAAGTGTGAGTGGATCTGGATACATTTTTTTTAAATGGAACACCCTGTATATTATTGCATTTTTGGTTTCTTCCTTTCAGATCACTTTACATGATCATAAGATATGAGTAAATATATTTCGATAGTTTCAAAGATATTAAAAAATAAATCAAAAATATATATTTTTCAGCCCTTTTAAAAAAAGATTGGCGCCGGGAGGCACGTATAGCCGCCCATACTAAAATATGTTAATAAAAAGTTCTTTTAGTTTTAAAGTAAAGGAATTTTTCCAATTTTTTATCTCAAAAACTGCGACATAGGCTGATTTTGGTGTTATTACAAATTTTGTTGCAAATATTATTCCTAATCTTAAATTGAAAACCGCGTTTCGCTAGCATAATTTTCGCTAGCGTAATTTTGGAGTTACGATTTTTTTTAAATTTTTAACCCCCTCCCAGACCCCCTTACCAACCCCCCTAATTTGGTTAAAATCGGTTTAGCGGTTTTTGAGTTATACCTGTTGGTATGGTCGGTTAAAAATTATTAAAAATACAGGAACTGTCCTGAAATCAAAACTATATTAGGTATTTACTTTAGATGGTCTGTACTTACTTTGCTATAAATATGGAAATTGTAAATCATACAGGATGTTCAAAATTCTACGTCAAACTTTCTAAAATATAAAGTATGTTTTCTTTTTTTTTTAAATGGAACACCCTGTATATTATTTTTTTATTAGATGGAGAGTTAAAAAATGAACATTTTTTGCATTTAAAGTATTTCAAAATTTTTAATAGTTTTTCAGATACACGCAGTATTATTTGGAAGAAAGGCTGAAAAATATGTAATTTTTTATTTATTTAGTACCCAGAGGGGTGCCTTGAATGTCAAAAGTTGACATATGATATGTCATTCTATTCAGAGTGTCATTTTCTATCGAATAAATTAAAAAAATACCGAAGGTGCCTTCTAAGAATCAAAAGTGTAGTCATTTCCGGTGAAAGAGGAAGTGACCGAGAACAATTGAATATTCATCAGTCAATCCTAATTTATGTCATATACTAACATACCAAATTTCAATTTTTTATCTGAAAAAAATAAAAAAGTTATAGGGGTGAGCCACGTTTGAGAGGCACCCGGTATATAGGTTTTCTCCTTTCTTTGTCACTCAGTATAATAGAACTAATTCCATAAATCAGTATAGGACTATTACACTCTAATATTGTACTAGTACGCTAAATTAATTATTATTAAATTCATAATTTTTATTGAAATAAATTTAACGTCTATTATACACCTACATAAAAATTTAGAGAAACACACCTATAAAAATTAGTCTAATGGACATGTTTGACAAAACGAAGAGAGCTAAAAACGGACATTGTCGATTTATTCCCATATAGATTAAGCTCACGCGATCTATATTTCTATGTCGGATATAAAAAAAATAGAATTATGTGTTCAGTCTACACCGCGCCACAGTCGCCGATAACATAATTTGTGTCAGTCTTGTTCCATTTAATCTCTTTAAATATACATTTTGCTTTTCATTAAATAATTAACGTTGTAGATATGTAAGTAATCTACGATTTTACAATTTATAAACAGTCTCGGAAATATAGGTCAATGGTTTCTGCAAATATAACAATCCTACACAGAAACTACTAAGTAAATATCAAGTTTAGTGCAGTTTGTTTTGAAATTTCTTGCTACAACAGTTCGCAATTTTGAGAAGGTATATTTTTTTCAATAACAATGTTTTTTCAATTGTATTGGCAATATTTCGCTGCTGGGCTAGTTATTTGGGTTATTATAAGGATTGGATATGCTATATTCAATGGAAAAAACAGAGCTAATAAATTAGCGGAAAAAGATATTATGGAAAAAAGTCGTGAAGAAAAAATTGGTAAGTATAATGTTGACTGTACCAATTAAGAACAGGTTTAAACATTAAAATTACTTATTAAGTTATTAAATTAAAAATTAAGTACATGCTATGTAATATTCTAAAATACAGATATACCTTTTCTAAAGAATATTAACTAAGTAACTTAAAAAAACACGTGTTGACAATAGAAATGCCGAGCACATAAGAGAACAGCCTTCAGAAAATCGTTGTTGCCATGACGCCCTGTCAAAATAGACGCGCCCCTTCGGAAAGGCTACAGGTGTTTATATTATTTATTGATCTTTATACATTTGATATTAGGTAAATAGTAGGTATAAACTTATTAAATTATAAGATATAATTTAAATAGTTAGAATTTGTTTTTCTTACATCCTGTAATTTGCCGCCAAACAGTTGGCACTGAGCACACGGAATTAATTTCCCACATACCTTTTTTCAATAACTTAGTAATAAAATAATATTCCTGTTTGTTGCATTTTTTTTTCACACATACTAGAGTGCGATTTCGATAGTCCCCTAAGAAATATAATTAATAAAATATACACAACTTCACAATATTCGTCTTATGTAAAAATTTAACATATTAAAAATATGTAAAATGTAATGAATGAAATAAACGAAATGAATGAAAGAAAAAACAAAATGAACGAAGTGAACGAAATGAAGGACAGAAAAAACAAAATGAACGAAATGAATGAAAGAAAAAACAAAATGAACGAAATGAACAAAACGAATGAAAGAAAAAACAAAATGAACGAATGAATGAAAAAGAAAACAAAATGAACAAAACCAGAAAATGGACGAAATGAATAAAATGTACGAATGAATGATTTCTATTTAAGCCAATGTGTTTAAAACGTTAATATATGGATTTTATGATATGGAACAAAACTTTTTAGATAAGTACTGGTTCTGTGTTTTTCCCCAATTCAATTGAATATGATCATCAAGCTCTCCGGCCGGGAATCGAAACCGGGTCTCCCGCGTGACAGGCGGGATTCTTACCACGGCGAACTATATAGGCGGGGATACTATCGAAGGGAACCAGGCGGGGATACAAGGGAACCAGGCGGGATACTACTGAAGACTTACGAATTGAACGCACGTAAACGAACGAGCTCCGGAAAATTAAGTCTTTTAAAAGATTTCCCACCGGTTTTTCGTCGCGAACGGGTTCGAAAGTAAAAAACAATTGTCCGACAAGCAGTTTAAAGGGAAAACATGTATACGGGCAGTTCTTTTGGTGGTACTTTCCCGGCTAGAATATAGTGACAGCAATACCACTCCGAAACACACGCGGATTAACTCAAAATCAAGCCAGCAACCATCAAGTAAGGCTTAGACTATCAACACACAGATCATAGAAACCCATCACAACATCCAACACCACAAGCAGGATATTCCAGATAATTCCAAACCAAAAAACACCAACAAGTTGAGGTTATGTCGACCTGGAGGGAGAATGAGATCGACATCTTAAAAGGGAAAATCAGAGAAAAAGGTGTGCTCAAACAGGAAGACCATATAGAGCTGCAGCAACACTTACCAGGTAGATCTGTTGCGGCCATAAAGAAAAAATACTTAGAGCTAAAACACACAGCCACTGAGACCAACACGTGCGCCATTGCAACCAACACCGCACAAAGCAGCAAATGGACGGAAGAGGAGACGAAAAGGTTAGTTAGGGCATATAAGTGTATAAGGGAACCACAATCGACGGCACGTATCAAGGCTATATTGGAACAGTTTCCTGGACGAACAGTTAAGGCAATAGCTACAAAGCTTCGACTGCACTGCCCGGATATCTATTATATGCGTAGTACTTTTCCCTCATCCTCCTCATCGCAATCCATAAACACCGACACATCTGATGATGGAACGGCGGCAAATCAAGAGGAAACTCCAGAACGTAAAACTCAAAACGAACACACTGATGCACCTGCACAACCACCCGTTGAACTGACCCAGACCCAACCACCCAATACATGCAAAGAAGGACAAGGGGAAGGAGAGGCACTTAGATCACCTCTCACAACCCCAACATCCCCCCACCCAGTACAAGATGGTGAAACGGATCGTCTGGAAAACCAGTTCAAGAACATGCTTAAATGTGCTGGAGACAAGAAGACAAAAATTAAAAAGTTCCTCCTTAGACCATCCAATAACAGCACCCTGGAAAGAATAAACCGAATACTGGCAAAGCACATCGCACAGATCCAGGCAGGGGCCAAAGAACGGTTAGTTTTGGATTAGTTTTAGTTATATTATTATTAGCATACTAAATTTTTTGGCCGAGATGTGACCACCGAAACAATGTAAAAAATATAAATATTAGTTTTTTTATAATAATACACATTCTATGTATTAAAGTAAATATTCAATAATAATAAAGACATACTACTGAAGACTTGGTAAAACGTTTCTTGAACCATGTACAGTCGCTATTCGAAAAAACTCCGGGTAGTAAGAAATATTTTTAAATCACTTAAAATCAAATCAATCACTTTAACTATTTAAAAACAACTACTTTCCTCTATTTATAAATACACGTCTAAATGTTTTAATATTTTAACATGTCTAGGATTATTATATTTAATAAGTAGCTAGGTACCTATAATTAGGATTTGCGCATTCACAACAATTAATAAAAAGATGTCATTAAGATAAATGACCTTTATTTTAAGGGTATTTTGCTTATGCCTATAAAAATAATTTATTATTGAATTCGGATTTTGGCGTATGAAATGAATGAAATGAATGAAATGAATGAAATGAATGAAATGAATGAAATGAATGAAATGAATGAAATGAATGAAATGAATGAAATGAATGAAATGAATGAAATGAATGAAATGAATGAAATGAATGAAATGAATGAAATGAATGAAATGAATGAAATGAATGAAATGAATGAAATGAATGAAATGAATGAAATGAATAGAAATGAATGAAATGAATAGAAATGAATGAAATGAATGAAATGAATGAAATGAATGAAATGAATGAAATGAATGAAATGAATGAAATGAATGAAATGAATGAATGAAATGAATGAAATGAATGAAATGAATGAAATGAATGAAATGAATGAAATGAATGAAATGAATGAAATGAATGAAATGAATGAAATGAATGAAATGAATGAAATGAATGAAATGAATGAAATGAATGAAATGAAATGAATGAAATGAATGAAATGAATGAAATGAATGAAATGAATGAAATATGAATGAAATGAATGAAATGAATGAAATGAATGAAATGAATGAAAATGAATAAAAAATGAATGAAATGAATGAAATGAATGAAATGAAGAATGAAATGAATGAACTGAATGAACTGAATGAAATGAATGAAATGAATGAAAAATAATAGAAATGAATATGAAATGAATGAAATGAATGAAATGAATGAAATGAATGAAATGAATGAAATGAATGAAATGAATGAAATGAATGAAATGAATGAAATGAATGAAATGAATGAAATGAATGAAATGAATGAAATGAATGAAATGAATGAAATGAATGAAATGAATGAACTGAATGAACTGAATGAATGAAATGAATGAAATGAATGAAATGAATGAAATGAATGAATGAAATGAATGAAATGAATGAAATGAATGAAATGAATGAAATGAATGAAATGAATGAAATGAATGAAATGAATGAAATGAATGAAATGAATAAGAATGAATGAAATGAATGAAATGAATGAAATGAATGAAATGAATGAAATGAATGAAATAAATGAATGAAATGAATGAAATGAATGAAATGAATGAAATGAATGAAAATGAATGAAATGAATGAAATGAATGAAATGAATGAAATGAATAGAATGAAATGAATGAAATGAATATGAAATGAATGAAATGAATGAAATGAATGAAATGAATGAAATGAATGAAATGAATGAAATGAATGAAATGAATGAAATGAATGAAATGAATGAAATGAATGAAATGAATGAAATGAATGAAATGAATGAAATGAATGAAATGAATGAACTGAATGAAATGAATGAAATGAATGAAATGAATGAAATGAATGAAATGAATGAAATGAATGAAATGAATGAAATGAATGAAATGAATGAAATGAATGAAATGAATGAAATGAATGAAATGAATGAAATGAATGAAATGAATGAAAATGAATGAAATGAATGAAATGAATGAAATGAATGAAATGAATGAAATGAATGAAATGAATGAAATGAATGAAATGAATGAAATGAATGAAATGAATGAAATGAATGAAATGAATGAAATGAATGAAATGAATGAAATGAATGAAATGAATGAAATGAATGAAATGAATGAAATGAATAGAAATGAATGAAATGAATGAAATGAATGAAATGAATGAAATGAATGAAATGAATGAAATGAATGAAATGAATGAAAATGAATGAAATGAATGAAATAGAATGAAATGAATGAAATGAATGAAAATGAATGAAATGAATGAAATGAATGAAATGAATGAAATGAATGAAATGAATGAAATGAATGAAATGAATGAAATGAATGAAAAATGAAATGAAAATGAATGAATAATGAATGAAATGAATGAAATGAATGAAATGAATGAAATGAATGAAATGAATAAATGAAATGAATGAAATGAATGAAATGAATGAAATGAATGAAATAGAATGAAATGAATGAAATGAATGAAATGAATGAAATGAATGAAATGAATGAAATGAATGAAATGAATGAAATGAATGAAATGAATGAAATGAATGAAATGAATGAAATGAATAAATGAATGAAATGAATGAAATGAATGAAATGAATGAAATGAATGAAATGAATGAAATGAATGAAATGAATGAAATGAATGAAATGAATGAAATGAATGAAAATGAATGAAATGAAATGAATGAAATGAATGAAATGAATGAAATGAATGAAATGAATGAAATGAATGAAATGAATGAAATGAATGAAATGAATGAAATGAATGAAATGAATGAAATGAATGAAATGAATGAAATGAAATGAATGAAATGAATGAAATGAAATGAAATGAATGAAATAGAATGAAATGAATGAATGAATGAAATGAATGAAATGAATGAAATGAATGAAATGAATGAAATGAATGAAATGAATGAAAATGAATGAAATGAATGAAATGAATGAAATGAATGAAATGAATGAAATGAATGAAATGAATGAATGAATGAAATGAATGAAATGAATGAAATGAATGAAATGAATGAAATGAATGAAATGAATGAAATGAATGAAATGAATGAAATAAATGAAATGGAAAATGAATGAAATGAATGAAATGAATGAAAAGAAATGAATGAAATAGATGAAATGAAATGAATAGAAATGAATGAAATGAATGAAATGAATGAAATGAATGAAATGAATGAAATGAATAGAAATGAATGAAATGAATGAAATAGAATGAAATGAATAGAAATGAATAGAAATGAATGAAATGAATGAAATGAAATGAATAGAAATGAATAGAAATGAATAGAAATGAATGAAATGAATGAAATGAATGAAATGAATGAAATGAATGAAATGAATGAAATGAATGAAATGAATGAAATGAATGAAATGAATGAAATGAATGAAATGAATGAAATGAATGAAATGAATGAAATGAAAGAAATGAATGAAATGAATGAAATCAGAAAATGGAATGAATAAAATGTAGGAATGAATGAAATTGTTATTTAAGCTAATGTGTTTAAAACGTTAATGTATGGATTTTATGATATCGAATAAAACTTTTTAGATAAGTATTGGTTCTGCGTTTTTTCCCAGTTGAATATGATACTTAAATATTTGTATTAGACATTAAAAAAATAAAAAAGTTACTCTCCGGCCGGGAATCGAACCCGGGTCTCCCGCGTGACAGGCGGGGATACTTACCACTATACTACCGAAGACTTGGTAAAACGTTTCTTCAACCATGTACAGTCGCTATTCGAAAAAACTTGCTTATTCTTCCGTATAATCTAGACAAGAAACAAGAATTAGAAATACTTAGCAGTTATGAGAGGGTATCTTTCACCTCCACTGAGTTAATGAATTCCGCGAGAAATGTTCAAAAACTGCCCCGTCTGTCCATAACAGAAGACGGTTGATATGTCGAACACCTGTAGCAAAATCTCATGTCTTGGTTTGCTATTTATTTTTATTGTTATTAGATATAGGTAGTTTAAATGTGTTGATGTTGGTTAAATATATTTTAAATTGTTATAAAATTCTGCATCTCTCATAGCAAATATTATTTTCGTTTTAATTGATGCTCACAGCTAGAATTGTTTTGCATTACAGCCGGTACCGTTCAAAGCCTACTTATTTAAAGCTGGCGAATTTTTATATACTCTATATCTCGAAGAAGAATCGAGCAAAATATCAAGTGTGTTAGATTTTTGGATAGGCAATTTTAAATTCTTTTCAATAAATTTAAAATATACAGGGTGTCCCATATAAAAAATCAAATTTTCTGTTGATAATTCTTAAATTATTAATTTTAAAAAAAATATACTTAAGCCATTAAATTCTACGTAAAAAGGTGCTTTGGAAATGTTTTCATAAAAATATAAAATTTTCAATAACAAAAAAGTTAAGTGATTTGTTAAAAATGCATATTTTTGAAAAACACCCCGTAACTCCGAAACGGTAACAGATATCGATATGCGGTTTTCACCATCATGTTTTTGACAAAAATTGAACTCCAGATACCGATATTAGTTTTTGTCTATCTCCTATAGAAAAGGGTGTTTCCATTTAAAAGCGTCGAATTTGACCCACCCTGTACATTATATATATATCTATTTGAAATAATAGTTGAGAATTTTTTAATATTATATAAAACACGTTCTGTTTTCTAGTAGATAGTAATGATTCGGAATCTGAAGAACATAATGACGATATATTACCAGCACTACCAAAGGACCTTAACCACATTCCTCTTCTTTTCAGCAAACTGGGAGAAGAAGAGTCTTTAAATAGAGCAGAGGAATTCTATAAGCTCATGAATAGAAGACGCACTGTTCGCCATTTTACTAGACAGAATGTCCCTAAAGAAATAATATATAATATCATTAAAACGGCAGGTAATTATTTAACAGAGAGATTATATTTATTTTAAATTTGAATATTTTGGATCACTATAAAATGTTAATTTAAAATTCTTGACGTTATGGTGAAGGAATTTATTAAAATATATGAAAATTATTAAATGTATTAAAAAATTTTGACTTCTTGACAAATTTTGGAAGAGAATATAACATTAATCATCAATTAATACATTAATACGTATCTTATTAGCACAATATAAAATAATATAGAAAGTAATAATAAAAGATTCTTAAATAGACAAAAAAAATGTCAGCATAATCTGATTACTATATTATGAATAATATAATCACATTATTGTATATGAATAATATAGTCATATTACTATATTATATTATGAATAATATAATCACAGCATGGCTTATCAAATTATGCATTAGAAATACCGTATGATCGAGAAAAAATGGCGTCAGCGATGGCTATGAAATGAAGATCGCTGTCATTTTATACTTATGTAAATTTATATGAGAAATGTCATCGATCGTGATTTTCCAGCCAACTGGACACCGTTTTTTTTCGATCGTACGGTATATAATCTAGTGTATAATAATTTTTCCTTGATCTCTCAATGTCATTAGTCAGAAAACATATATACAGGGTGTTTCAAAACAAATGCGAAAAACTTCAGGGGGTGATTCCTTGTTCAAAATAAAGGGTAGTTTTCTTCATAAACATTGGGTCAAAAGTCAACCATTAGGGAGATATCGCGATTCAAAGATGGCGGAAAAATAATGTTTTTATTTTTTATCTTGAAAACGAAAAGAGATAGACTAATGAAATTTTATGGAAGCATTACTGTTATGAAAACACACTTTCTGGTAATTTTTTCATAAATACCCGACCTTTCCAGTAGAGGTGTTTTATCCTTTGGATTACCTAATAATTGTTGTAATTAGTGCTAATAATAAATTTCTTGTAAAGGTTGTAATCAGAAATATGTTGGGCAAACTAGAAGATCAATATTAACTAGATTTAAAGAACATTTGGCTCAGATAAGATATGGTAGACCGGATAAATCTTGCGTTGCCGAACATATTGTTGATAAAGAACATTGTATAGATCTTAATAACTTGAAATTAATTAAACAAGTCTCAAATTACAGGCAATTAGATGCATATGAAAGCATCAGAATTAATAAATGTAAAGTAATTTTTAAACTCAAAATGCCTTTAATTATGTTTGACTACATCATTAAAAAGGGTCTTCAAATACATCAATGTGATAAAATTTGCAAAAGAATCCGAATCTCTGGATAACTCGAAATTATTTACCCATTTAAAAGCCTTTGATCATGAAGGTGGAAAAATTTGTTCATTTTATTTACAGGCTGGAAAAATTATTTATATTAAATTTTGATGAGTTTTGCACTGAAGAAAACATTCAGAGGCTGTTTGATATAATGAAAACTATAGAACGCAAAAAAAAGTCCGATAGAACCAATAGAAATGTAACTATTTTGTCACATATTTAATTAAATTTTGTGAAATAAATTATTTTTTTATACTATAAATATCTTTTTTTTTTTCATGAGCTACTGCTATAAATATCTTTTTTCTACGAGCTGATATAATATGACGAGCAATCTATTAAATTACTGTGAGATTATACAGAAAAGTCCACAGACTTCGAGACATAGAAAAATCAAGTCCATTTAGCGTGTGTCCAAATTTTGACAAGTTTTCAAAAATGACAGTTTTGTTTAGACTGACGTTTAATTTCACCTGACTTCTCGGTGAATGATTTCTTTTTATGGGGGTACATAAAATCTAAAATTTACGGCCATGAAGAAATTCAAAACTTGGAGCAGTTAAGGCAGAAAATATTTAATGCCTTTGACACTGTCACCCCTGATATGTTATCCAATGTGAGGAGGGGATTTTATGATCGTTTGGTTTATGATCGTTTGGTTTTATGATCGTTTGGCAAATTTTTGTAATTTTTTAAATTTCATTATCCTGTTTTTTTACCGTTTACCCATTACCTACTTTGACGAACATGGGAAAACGAAGGTCCTTTTCAGGACCACAAATATTTTGATTGAGAAAATTGGTAACTTTCTTTTGGATTAAAAAACAAAAGTTGTTAATATAGTACCAATTTAAAAGTGTTTTAGTAGTTTTAATACACACTATGATATAAAATTTATTATTATTATAATGTACATTACATTATTATTAATATTATTAATATAATGTACATTAGTAATACTATTGTTCATTCGAAATGGCATTAAGGCCCAATTGCAACAATGATTTAAATTTTTTCTTAAAGATAAGTAGAGCTTAGAATGAGCTGTATTTATATTTAGTTTAATATTCACCTTAAATGAGGGAATTTGACTGATACAATTTTTGAATTTGAATTGTTTTTAATGATACTAACAATTTTAGTTCAATTTTTAATAAAATTTATTTAATATTAATAGAAATCCAAGAAATTTGAAACCTCTTTTAGCGATTTATAACATTCTCAAATGAATTACAGGTGTCCTTATTTTCTATGAAAATCACACAGCTTTTTTCATAGTCGCTGCAGTTGCTATAGCTATAAAAAACTAATATTTTAAGGTGTGAAAATTGTGACACACGCTAAATGGACTTGATTTTTCGTATGTCTCGAAGTCTGTGGACCTTTTTGTATGCTTCGATAACATATTGGTGCAGATTATTTTCACCCAAACAAATAATAACCCAAACTATACATTGATGCGGATTGTCTATGAACACTTTCTGAAGGTCACAGAAACCTGAACGCGTAATTCGGTGTTCTTTCGCATCTGTTATAGGTAATTTGTGCTCTCGTATAGGAGCGCATCGAACATTACTTCGAACGTTGGAAGGTCCTTTGACTCGCGTAAAATTTACCGACCAGAGGCCGAACTTGCTTCGAACGTTCGACACATGGATTTCTGCGCTCCCACACGATGTGGCGAATGCCGTGCGTCCAACGATTGAAGGTGTTCGCCACATCGTGTACGACGTAGGACCGTCTTAATTCGAAATAGTTGAAACCATAGACTTAAAATAAAATATAGACTACACTATTTACATCTCAACGCGGACAAACAACCTTTTTTGTACACATGTTTACTTCTGGGTACAGTCGACCGAGCCTTCCTCATCCAGCCTATGTTGTCACGTCTTTAATATTATCAATATTTTTTTTTCTTGTTATACACATATATTGAGATATTAATACTACAGTTTAATAAAGTAGGTTTTAATATTCCAGAGATGTATTAAATAGTCCTTATACTACTAAATTATAAGTCGGATACTGTTTAAAAAGGATAAGTTCTTTACAATATGACAACACCGATTAGAGGCGAGGGAGCCTATTCATTCATTTATTACCTTGTAGTACGTGTCGCACGTGTGCGGTAAAGCTTTGTTGCCGCTATCTCCCCGGCTGTATTAACGCATTTTCTTAGCTTGTAGTGCTTAAGTGTTTATTTTATTGACTTTTTCTGTTCAAGAACTATAAAATATGGTTCGCCAGTGCCAAATTTGCAAGAAATTTGACTTAAATAATCCATTTAAGTCTTGAAACGACTTTTGACCGGTAGGCAACTCTCAATTTACCCATTGGGAGTCAGTGGCGTTGTTGTAGAAAGGCGCTTATTTAGATAATATTTTAGTAAAATGTAAAATCTGAATTTTTTCTCTTACATTACATTATTTACTTACTTACATTGTAACAAAATCATAATTATAACCCTGTTAATAATTAATAATGTTTTTATTAAAAATATATTCCGGTTTATTCTAAAATTATCTTCAGAATCTAAAATAACATACAAGAATTTTAAAATGATATTACATTATGAAACAATATTTTTTAAAATACCGGGTCGTCTCAAAAGTGGCTTACCCCTATAACTTTTTAATTTTTTCAGATAAGAAAACAGATTTGTATCAGTTTTTGTATATGACATAAATTAGGATTTATTGACGTATTCAATTGTTTTTGGTCTCTTCCTGTTTTATCGAAATGATTACATCTTTTGATTTTTAAAGGCACCCTCGGTATATTGCTACTTTATTCGATAAAAAAATGACACTCTGAATAGAATGACATATCATATGTCAACTTTTGACATTGTCGCTTAAAAACATATCCTATTTTAAATTTCAATCCAGTTTTTTTTCAATCCACTAAGTTTTAATCAAGGAGCCTTGGAAAAATAGTTTTGATCGTCTAATAGGTTTCGTGTCTTGTCTAGGCCGGTTAAAAGATGTACAAATCGTATTTTTAATCATACATATGTCAATTTTTTCAAATGGAACAAGGGTGACTCATTAGCATATTTGGAAAAAGCATTTTTTTATGAATATATTGACCACAGACTTGGTATTTCGAGTCAAATTGTCGTTATGAACCGCGTGTTACAATTACAATTAAACCATATGCGAAAATGTCAAAAGTTGACATATGATGTGTCATTCTATTCAGAGTGGCATTTTCTATCGAATAAAGTAGAAATATACCGAGGGTGCCGTTTAAAAATTAAAAGTTATAGTCATTTCCGGTGAAACAGGAAGTGACCAAAAACAATTGAATGCGTCAATCAATCCTAATTTATTTCATATACTAAGATACTAAATCTTGTTTTTTTATTTGAAAATATAAAAAAAAATATGGAGATGAGCCACTTTTGAGACGCACCCGGTATAATAAAGACAGTACCGAGTTAAATAAATGTAGCTTTTATTTTATCCACTTCCTATCACCTTCCTTGCTTTAATGGGACAGATTTATGTTTCCTCTAATTTACATAATAAGACATCACTTAACCAGCAAAAAAAATTACAACAATCATATTTTTTTTTCCTCTCCCTGTCGCCGATTCTATTATATCTGTGGAATAGATCCTGTTTTGATTAATATTAGGGGTTGTAAATGTTTGACTAAAATTAATAATTTATTATTAATTTCAAAAATTACCTAATTTCGATTATAAAATTTCTTCTATAACGTGTATTTTATTATTTTTATCCTTTTTGGACTCTAAATTGCTTTTTCTAAACTTTTATTTAAAAAACCTGTCCTAAATCTTAATAAAATATAAAAAAGTTTAAATACGATATATTTTTAATTTAATTATAGCTTCATTAAAATAAAAAATTACCCGGCTATGATACGGAGAGTTCAGGTGTACTTGAGAAACGAAAGACAGTGTTGTGTTTCTCGGCAGAGTCGTCAGGGAACGACCGTTACGACAGAGACAACCTATCTATCGCTCGTGTCGCACTCGTTATAACCTAAAACAATAACACAACAATAACAAGACAGTGTCTGACCGCATGTTCCAGCTATATATGAATGAGATGCTCAGTCTATATTTTATTTTAAGTCTATGGTTGAAACACATTTTGTGGGGTTGGATAAAAATCTTCACAAAAAACAAAGAAAACACTATTTAAAATATCAACTACAACTATTCAAGAACACTTTTACACTTATTCAAGAACCTTTTAATAAACTTATCTGCTAAACTTAACTAAACACTAGTTTTTTTTCTATTACAAACCGTTGGCATTCTGACGTATGTTTCAACGGTACGGTATAAAGTGCATTATTGCAACTTAACTGAATCCATGTTCAATAATGTTTTAGGCACTGCACCCAGTGGGGCTCATACTGAACCATGGACTTACGTTGTCGTAAGTTCTTCAAACATTAAACAAAAAATTAGAGAAATAATCGAGGAGGAAGAAGAAATCAACTACAAGAAACGAATGGGCAAAGTGTGGACCACGGATTTGAAACCGTTGAAAACCAACTGGGTAAAGGAATATCTCACCGATGCACCCTATTTAATTTTGGTGTTTAAACAACTGTACAGTATTCGTCCGGATGGAAATAAGAAAATGCACTACTATAATGAACAAAGTGTTTCTTTGTCAGCCGGTATTCTTTTGGCTGCAATTCAGGTGAGAAAAAATTATATGCGTTAAGCTACTTTGACACGGGTAGTGAAGCACGCTCGTGTTTCACACTTTCGTGAGTTACAAAAGTACCAAAAAACCATTCGTGAAAAACGAAAATCGTTCAGCGATTTTTACACGGCAAACGTACCAGTCTTCTATATAGGGTGGTGACAATTTCGATGCTCAACATTGGCATCTCAGAAACTACAAGAGATTCGGTTAAACGGGATAAAAGTTACGTAATTAGATGTTTGACAAACACCTATGAAGAAAACCCCGGTATCTCGATTAGTTTCGGATTTATGTCAAAAAATGAAAATAATACGTTTATTTTAAATGATTTCGATACTAGGGAGGCTTTGTTTGCCTACAATGTCTTAATGCAGCGGTACCTTATAGCGGTTCGCGAATTTTGTGAGGAAGAGGGTATAAGAAAACTGTGGTGGCCGCCGATGTCTCCAGATATGAATGTGATCGAGCATGCTTGGGACATGCTAAAACGCCATTTTGCCAAAAGGAATGATCCCCCCGTACCTTAAATGAATTGAAAATTGCTGCGCGCGAAACATTCCCCATCTTCTGGACAACTTAATTGAGAGCATGCCACGTCGTCTCACAGCTTGCATTGAGGCTCGAGAAGGCAATACAGACTATTAGTTGTGAGAAATAATTAAAATTGTTTACAATATTTTCTGTTTAAAATGAAATTTTAAACAGAAATTTTAAAGCCCAACATTTTTTTTTGTTGATTTTCACTCATTATGAAATAAAATTATAATAACAGCCTAATTGCACTTAGATTTTTAATTTTATATTAGTTAGTCGTGTAGAGTAAGCCAATATGTCCAAAAATATCAAAAGAAATATATTAGCACAGATATTAAGTCCAAAATAAAATAAAAATATCGTTATAGGCAATAATTTTGGTCATGTGTGTTTATTTATAAATAGGGGAATACACTTTTAACAGGGTGCCAATAAAAAAGGGGCCGCAAATAGGGGTTGCCACAAAATAGTACAACAAATATCCTGAAATCTAAACTAAATGTATATTATTTCTTTGTTAGATAGAAAATTAAAAAATGTACATTTTTTGTATTTAAAGCATTTTAAAACTTTTAGTTCTGAAAAAAAAAACGAAGAAAAACTTTTATATATTTTAGAAAGTTTGGTATAAAATTCTTTAACGTTCAAGTGTCAGACTTTTCTTGTAAAGAAAACCTTTTGGAATTTTAGAAATATGTAAAAGTCAATAGAGGGTGTCATTTAACATTCTTCGTTGAGTTTCACAAGTGATATTTAATTGTGTTATATTAGAAGATATGAGGTTTAATGAACTATAATTCAAAGCTTGAAATTTTTTGATAAAGCCATTAAATGGCAGTTTCAGCAACGTTTTCTTTGTCTTACCGTAGGTATATTAATTTTTATAAAAAGCTGCAGGAACTTAATACAGTAATTTATAGTCATATATAAATGAAAATATAAAATGTTATGTCTGGATATTCTGGCGACGCACAAAGGAGTATTTTTTATATCTAGCTGGCCAAAAGTGATTTCCGAAAATCACGCGTAGATAAAAAGATACGGTTCTCAAACAATGCCAGAGAGACCCCCGCTCCGAACCCAGTGTTTATGGTGCCCCACTCCACCATAAAATGGAATGCATCATCGGGTTTCGGACGTTAAAAAGCAGTAATTGTTTCAAACTGTTTTCTGTGTGAAAAACGTGACTTTTAGAAGTATTGTATTTTTTTGGTGTATTCCCAAGACTAAAATCTCACGGATTCTGAAATGGCAGGTAATTTTACCTTTATTTCCATATTAGAGTTTTTGTTTATTATCGGATTCTTATGCGTTTATTTCTTTATGTGACAAAATCCTATACTTTTGTCAGTGTTATGAAAAGATATTATAACTGAAAGTGTTTTGCTCTACTTCAGGGTTCGTCCCGGTAGTGATTTTTGTAGAGATGATAAATGAACAGTATTCTCCCTTCCTAAAAATGATATATTCAAGGTCCACTATGCTCCACCTATTGATTAATTAAATATTTAAAGCTTACTGTTTTGCGAAATGTAAAAAAATAATATAACGTGGTACTTATCTCTGCTGATCTGCTGATACATTTTATGGTCTGTGACATTCAAGTTATTAGTAATTTTGCATTTTCCATTATTTTAGGACCATCTGGCATTAGGGCAATGACTCGTAGAGAAGTATTTAACTTGATGAGTGCACAAAATCGCCTCGATATTAACGATAAGTTAGAATTTGTCGAAAATCATTTAGCAACATTGGAGCCTTATAGCGACGAACAAATTAAGGAAATAAGGCATAAATTTTCATATGTGAAGCCCGAAATAAAGCGTCACTGGATTGCAGCAAAACAACGACCAGACCTATTCGGAAAAAATAATCAGACATGGCTAAGGGGAGTGTTTGAGCTGCCAAAGGTACAGACAAAGCCAGGACGACCGAAAAAGTTATTTGAAGAGGCTAGCGAATAAACTTAACCTTTCCTGGATCGTGCGGGGTATTTTAGGTACCCCAGATGCGTTATTTCTTTAATAACTTTTACAATTTTTATTTCTCACTTTTTCCTATTAGGTAATCCTAGAATATATATTACAAAACCCTTTTTTAACAAAATAGCCAAATATTTTTTTTATTTTCGGCGAAAAACTGAAATTTACTGCCTGGGTACCCCCGTTACCCCGCACGGCCAGCAGTGATTCGAAGTCCAACACGCACTATTCATGTTTTTTTGTGTTGCTGACTTTGTATGAACACGTAAACAAGTTCTATATATCCAGTTTAGTGTTGGTATTTACTGTGATGTAGTAAGTTAGTGTATGTATTTATTGGAAAATGGCGCAAAAGGAATATACTCTTGATGGGCTAACAAAAAAGAAATTCCTGCCGAATTCGCTTCGAGAGCTGCGAAGAGCAATCCTTCAGCACAAGAACTTGTACTTTTAAACGTCCTAAGAAGTAAATAAAATGGTAACAAGTTTCACAAAACTGTAAAAAAAGCAATAAAATTATTTCTTGCCAAAAGCACAGTTCCTATAAATCCTGCTAAATAGATTCAACCTAATTCAAACCGAAGATGCGGCTTTTGCGCCAGATCGCGTAAGAGAAAAACAAAAATATTTAATACATGCAAAAACCCCATTTTTAATATTCTCGGCAAAGAATGTAAAACGTTTTTACGCTCTGACTGCCAATATAATGTGTAGAGAATTAATAAGAGTTTAGTTTTAAAATTAAATGTTTTTTTATATTAAACAAATACAAAATATTTAAATTATTGACGTTTTATTATTAACCTTTACAAATAATTACTAATGATTTACCTGAGTGACAAATATTAATAGTTTTTGAAATAATTCAGTGGGGTATCGTAGTTACCCCACTGTAAAGTAATAATATGACAATTTTTTTTTAATATACGTAGACTGAACCAAAAGATTATTTTGTATAGTATTTTGAGACGATTTTCAGTGATAAATAATTTTGGCCATGCAGGTAGATCCAGCAAATACTCCTCTGTGCGACGGACAAAATTAATTGATAAAACAAAAATTTGATGAAACCTGTGATGAAACTAAGGGCGATATTCTTGACATTATGGTGGAGTAATGAAATAAAAAATTATACAATTTCATGATGGGGGATTGTAATAAGTTTGAATAATATTTTTATGAGATAGATTAACTATATATATTACAATGATTTTTTGTAATTTTATTTATTATTACTTATTTTTTAATTACTTATTTTTTAATTTTATTTATTTTACCGTCAATTTTAGAATACTTTTATCATTTCAAAGACAAAAATATATTTTGTCTAGATAGCTGAAAATTGTTATATACTTATGTGATATTAAAAAGAACAACTTTTTCAAATACAGTTTGTCAAAATCCAGTTGAAATAGTTTTTAACCATTTATTACATTAAATGTCAAATGTGACAGACACCTGACAGCAACAAGATTAGTTTTATTGTTATTTTATTTCAATTTCGAAGCAAAACCTGAAAAACGTCTAGTTCAAAAAGTTAGGAAGTCAAGATTTACCTAAACCAATTAAAAAAAATTCTTTGTCCACGACCACTTGATAATAAATCAATATTCTACTTCCTAGCTGAAGGAATATGGTGCCCATATTTGTAATAGAGTGAAATATAACAGCTGATAACAGTGAATTATGATAAATCACAATTCGCACGTTGCCGTTTTTGCAATTTTGACGTTTAAAATTGTCAAATGTTAAGTAGAGAGTGATTATTAAATTACCAACTTTAGTTACACAAAACAACAAAAAGTCTGATGCTGGTACTCCAATTTATCGTTCTCCAACAACTGTTACTCAACTAAAGTGGGTAGAAGTATGTTTTATTGCAAAAAACTTGAAGCAGCATCAATAAAATTCAGATACATACAGTGTGACCCACTCAAGACCGGGCACCCTCCATAAAATCTGTGTTTATAGTCCGATTTTGATGATTTTTTTTTCAAATATAAAGTTTCAAAAAATGTACTTTAGGGCTCAATGTCATGTTATTTCACAAAAAACAAGGCCTACTTAATAAAGTTTTTGTGGTGAAAAATTTGCAAAATCATATTAGCGATTTTTTTCAAAAAATTTGAGTACACCCTACATTCGGCATCCCCAAAACAGTTCTGTACCAAATTTCGTTTAAAAATATTAATTATTAATAATTCTGCAGTTAAATTAAATAATTCCCTATTTTTGCCAATTTAACGATGAGTTATCAAGTAACCCTTGAAAAAAACAATCCACGACAACGAGTTTTATTACAAACAATGATAAAAATACTATAAGCAACACAATAACCGAATAATAAGTTAAACATATTCAAATAATTCTAGTTGCTTCTACCAGCCCTCCATTCAGTTGCAATACATTTGTCGCATCTTTTTCTTAGATTAACAGTTACATTCCTAAGCTGCTGTGGTGTAATATTTGCAGAAGCCTCTGTAATTCTAATACGTAATTCATCTACAGATTGAGGTCTAGACTTGTAAACTTGTTGCTTTAAGAAACCCCAAAGAAAGAAATCAAGGGGTGTTAGGTCCGGGGATCTCGGTGGCCACTCAATTAGCGGGCTATTTCGACCTATCCACTTATTTTCAAAATTTTCATTTAACCATTCCCTGACAACTGCCGCGTTATGCACAGGTGATCCGTCCAATTGAAATTTTAAATTCAAACGGGTTTGGCATGGTAAATTATGTATTGCATCCCAAAAGTCATTAATCAGAAAATTCAAAAACGTTGGACTATTCAAATTTCTCTCAAAAAAATATGGACCAATGATTCTATCATCAAGTATGCCACACCACACATTTAATTTCTGAGAATACTGTCTTCTTGTATTGATCACCCATTCAGGGTTTTCGACTGCCCAGAATCGCGAATTTTGAGAGGATACTACTCCGTTTGTACTAAATGTTGCCTCATCACTAAATAAAATTTCTTTTAAGAAATTTCTATTATTTAAATACTCTGCTTGAGCCCATAAGCAGAATTCTAATCGTCTAACATCATCTCCGTTTTCCAAAGTGTGTAAAATCTTTGGTTTAAAGGGTTTAACTTTATTAGTTCGCAAACATCTCCTAATATTTTCCCTTGGTATATCCAAATCAACACTGGCGCCTCTAATGCTTGCACGAGGATTGTTACGAAAATATTCTAATATTTCCTCATTCCGCCTATTTATTCGATGTTCCGGCCTTCTGTTTTTTAGTAAGTATTTTGACACACAACCAGTTTCATTAAAAACTCTATTTATTCGTTGAACCGTGCTTCTACTTACTGCAGGTCTGTCGGGATGTCTGTTGTTAAATTCTCTGGCAGCTTCTCCTGCTTGAAGATAGTTATCACCCACTAAACGAATAATTTCAATTTTATCCCTAGTATTTAATTGTTCCATAATGCAAATAATATTTCTTGATACAACACTTTTCTGCGTGCTATTAAATTAATATTCAATTCTACGCTGCAAGAATTGACAGATAATAAAACCCATTGTTGTGGATTGTTTTTTTCAAGGGTTACATGATAACTCATCGTTAAATTGGCAAAAATAGGGAATTATTTAATTTAACTACAGAATTATTAATAATTAATAATTCTTTAATTAATTAAACGAAATTTGGTACAGAACTGTTTTGGGGGATGCCGAATGTAGGGGTGTACTCAATTTTTTTGAAAAAAAATCGCTAATATGATTTTGCAAATTTTTCACCACAAAAACTTTATTAAGTAGGCCTTGTTTTTTGTGAAATAACATGACATTGAGCCCTAAAGTACATTTTTTGAAACTTTATATTTGAAAAAAAAATCATCAAAATCGGACTATAAACACAGATTTTATGGAGGGTGCCCGGTCTTGAGCGGGTCACACTGTATATAACGATAAATAAAACACAAATTATTTTACTATAGGTGGTAGAAAAAAGCAGTAATATATATACAGGTATGTTGTAAAGCACATCTAATAATAAACTTCCCAAATATTTGAAAATGGAATAGTTCGAGATGACTGCGACTCAGTTAATTTGCGAAGTAGTTAATTTTGACGTTTGAAATTGCCAAATTTTAAGTGGGTAGTGACATTTTCCCCTAAAACATGAATACAATAATTAATAGTAAGATTAACATTAAAAATACAAATTCAAACACTCCTCATAATTATTATAATGGCCGTGGACAAAGTATAGTATTCAACTCGCAATGTATAGCCATCATTCACTCAGGTGACTTGCGGCCCTCGCCTTGCTCGTTCAATAATATACTATTATGATGATGACTTTCACACGGCAGTATAAAAAGTATTGCCGTAAAAACTAAATTAACATTTTATCTCTTTTTCAGTATGCTGGTCTAGTTTCTCTAACTTCAACTCCATTGAACTGCGGTCCAGCTCTTAGAACCTTACTGGATCGTCCTAAATCTGAAAAATTAACTCTGTTGCTACCAGTAGGATACCCAGCAGAAGATTGTCTAGTACCAGATCTACACAGGAAGTCGTTAGAAGATATTATGGTAGAATTTTAAATGTAATAACTATTTTTTACTATTCTGTTTTAATTAAGGTTTTTAATCAAGTAATATTTCTAGATTGATATTTTTTGAATATATTTACTAATATACAGGGTGGCGCACCTCATTCGCCTCGGTTGATTATACGAAAACGGAAAGATGTAGAAACAAAATATTTTATGGGTATAAGAAATATGTATAAGAAAAAATATAACTTTGCTATCGATCTTAGTTCTGAAACACCCTGTATATTTCAAAATAATTTTAAATTTTGCCACATTGCCTCCCCACATATACTCATAAAATATTTTATTTCTACATCCTTCCGTTTCCGTATAATCAACCGAGGCGAATGAGGTGCGCCACCCTGTATAAAGTGCAATATGCCACTATAAGGAGTCGCATTAAAATAATAGAAAAAAGTTGTTGCACATTTTTTCTCATTGAATGCCTATATTACATGTAATATAATACAATATTTAAGATTAAATTTTTAAATTTAATTTTCCACAATTTTTATATACAGGGTTAGGGTATAACTATAATATTCTTTAGTTAGGATAAAACTTAATTGTCTTACATAGGTATAACATCACAGCGTTGTAAACGCAGCGTAGGCGCATCACAGCGTTGTAAAATCAAAAATAATGCTAATGAATCAAATAAAATCAAACATGTTTTGGCCTCATTAATGGTCATAATTGAATTAATAAGATATCTATTGATTTTATGCATATACTCGTACATATAAAACAGACATGATCATTGTCATTGTTAGTGGTATATCAGATTTAGAATAAAAATGCTGCCTATTTGATTTAAAGAAATATACATTTGTTTATTAGTGTTTTCCTTTTGTTTTTCAAATACATTCCTTTTATTTCAAGCCTTTCTCTTTATATTTTCAAATGCAATGCTTAATAATTTATTAATATGTCACTTTGTTTAAAGCTTGAGTTGATTTTAATCGAATACTACTAACAATTTAAACGAAATAAATATCAAATTTATTAGGAAAATAACTTTATTTCGGAATTAATCTTTTGGTGATAAGTAGGTAAATACAATTGTATTGAATGTCTTCCAAAATAAAAGAAAATAATAGATATAAGGGTATCCTGGTGAATTTTGTCTAGTGACGAATGGTTTTTGTAATGTCCTGGAATTGATCTGTCTTTATTAGATTCCTTTATAGGTCACAGAGATTCTAAAAAAGAAAGCAACGTTTAGTTAAATATATGATATACTATTCTCCATCTTAAAACTGGAGTTAACCTGAAACAGAAATTTTTCTATACAGGGTATACAGGATTTGCAGGTTTTCTGAATCGTATAATTGCAAAAAACAATATTTTTTAGGTTTCTAACGCCAATGAAAAAACCGCGCTATGTTGAATTTAAAAATGTGGGGTTTTTAAATTTCTTGAAAAACTCGAAAGTCAATCACTTATTCTTTCGCGAAAAAATATTGTAGTTGGGTAATACATTAAATTTTCCACCCTGTACAAATTTCAGTTCTGTACAGGATGAGTCGTCAACGACAGAGTTGTAGAATTTTACATAGAATTTAAAAAATAAAATATAAAATAGGGTGTTGCATTTAAAAAAAACATGTTATATCCGCAACACTTTTTTGAAGCACTCTGTATATTTTACAATAATTTTAAAATGTGTATCTTAACCCTCCCTAGAACTTTTATATTTAACATTTTTTGTAAAGCTCAAAACAAAGGAGATAATGACCTTACTCTATCGTTGACTCACCCTGTACATTCTGTAAATTTTATCAATATATTTTTTTACCTTTTATAAGCTGTAGTAAGTTCCACCTTTTTAACAATTTTGCTAGTTTGACTTCGTATTCCTCTACATCTGAATTCTCATCCTCTAGCGAAATATTACTTTGCAAATTTGAATTGTTGAATTCGTCCAGCGTTAAATTCAAAATCACAATGCATCATATCGGCCGGCGTTGTTTCCGTCATTCTTCAAGAAAACTTTTGGCCGCCATAATGCTACTGAAATAATATTAACGTTTGATCATTCTAAACAACTACTTAAACAACACATTACCTGTAAACGATAAAATTCCCCTTTTTGTCACTAATAACTGTCATATACTTAATATACTATCAATATCATTGTACTATTCAAAATAATGGAACGCGACAAAAATCATACAATAACGAGTGGCTGATCGGGCTTATCCCGTCAATACCGCCAAACACCATCTTTCGATGTCCACCTCAAATGCATGACTTTCTATTGGAAAATATTAATCACGTGGCAAAAGCCTAACAGAAATGTTAGCAATTCTTATAGAAATAAAATACTCTCGTGCTTTAAATAAATTTATTATAAGGACGTCTTATTGGAATAAATAGACAAGCAACACTTTTCAAAAATAATAAGGTAATGCCAGTTTATTTTAAACGTGGTTCTTTTGAAACATATAGAGTAATAATTACTTTAAAAGGACTAAATATTAGATATCCGATAAAACAGTATTCACTTTATTTCGAATGCTTTAATTTTTATTATGTATATAAAACAATATTATATTATCAGCAATCATTTATGAAACAAATAACTAGGTAAATCGAATTCAATAGAACGAGTTAATTATTTTAACGTGATTTATTGTGCATTTTACAATGCATTTTTTTTCTGAGTGATCGATAGTTACGCCACTGAGACGATGACACAAAATTATAATGAGCATGTCAATCTCGATTGATGGAAATATATGATCTGTGAAGAAAAAAAGTAACATGTGGAGACATTGTTTCAATGAATGTTTAAATGTACCTACGCTTATATGAATAAACCGTAATTATGAATTATTATTGTAACTATACCTACTAAACAACTTATAAACTTTACTAAAAATATAGATTTTCGTTCATTTCATACTTAGAACAAGTATTATTTTCTAGAGTTGCTATTTTTTATTTTTCTGTTATATTTCTGGCCTAAGTTTATTTCAATTTTTTTTTCAACTTCAATAGATCTGATTCTTATACTTTTTTCAAAATTTTTTAGTCATATCATTCCTTGCATTCGGCTTTCTTCTTTGACATCCAGTGGCGGATACAGAGGGGGAGGCCCGTGGGGCCCGGGCCCCCCTAAAATCTGGAAATTGTGTAAAATATTAGGTTTTTGCCCAAGTAGCATTTTCACGACTTGCGACCACATGTTTACTAAACACAACGTTGGATTAGTTACAAAAAATAGTTAGCTCCCTACCTTCGTTATTAAAATAAATTTAAACGTTTTTATAACGTTGTGCCGACGTTGGACTAGTACTACAGCAAAGTAGAAGCTTCTGCGACGTCGAATAAACGTTGTCTTCTAACCTTTTTTGCTTAAGTGATCTTTAGGTGATTCTGACAACGTAGTTACAACGTTGGACAATATATAGTTTTCCGACGTCAGTTCCAGGACCTATTCCAACGTTATGCAAACGTCGTTTGTTTTACTAATTCCAACGTTGTTTAGATTTCCTTATTCTTACGTTGGTAGGACGTCGAGTCACTACCTTTTTGCAACTGTATTGAACCATAACCTTAAATCTTAAATTTTCACTTCATTGTTCTGTTCAGTCAGACAGTTCAGTGCTGTTTTTGTTTTTATAAAAAAAATTAATTAAAATGGGACATAAGAAAGGTACATATAAAACTAAATTTAAATATACATCGACATATATTACCGATAATTTATCCACTCCCTCGTTTATTTAGATTATAGAGTGCGGCACAAGCTAGACTCTAGGATGACTAAATTAGGCAATCTTGCGACGAGTATACTACCTGTTAAGGCCGAACTGCGACTTTATTAGTCCAGTATGCGACTACTCGAACTACTCCATCTTAATCTCCAAAACAACAAAGTGAAAGCCGCCATGTTGTTAAATAAGAAAATGTTTCGTTCCTAAAATAGCAATTCCTGCTTTTTGAATACATTAACTTGAAATATTTGATCCTAAAAAACACGCGGAAACAATTTTTTGGACTGCGAATAAATTATTCTCATTTTACTAAAAAAAAAATCAAGAAAATTTTTAAAACTTCTTTAATTTTAAGGCCCATTAGTATTTTTCAAAGTAGAAACAATACATTTATCAATAAAGTTGTTTGCGTTTAACTTTTTTGCCATGGGTAACGAGTTACAGAGTCGGTTAAAGTATATCAATAATTCTGATCTTCAAACATCCTCCACACTTAAATACTTTTGTTTTGCTTTCCTTCACTGCCATCTGACATATGTCTCTAACTAAATCATAAAAATAATATTTTTACTATAATTATCCCAATTTAGGATAAAACGCGACTTAGACGCCATATTAGTTTTGTATTTCTGTGAATTAGGATTTTAAACAACGTTGCAGTTTGTACTAAATTAGGCTTCTAGTCAACGTCGGTATCCAACGTCGTTTCGACCCAAAAATTATTCTCCAAACTAGTGCAGACTAGGGTTGGCACGAGGTTGTGCCGACGTTGCGCCCCGACGTTTGGTCGCGTGACACAACGTTGTCCCGACGTCCAAATGCTGCTTGGGTGGGTAAAAATGGTACCCTAAAAAGCATATTCTACATTGCTTTTTATTTTGGGCCCCCTATAAAATAAATTTGTGTATCCGCCCCTGTTGACATCTATCGAATTCGTGTCGTTTTGAACTGTGTAGTTTTAAACATAACTAGAAAAATGTTTAATCGGAGTTCTGGCAATCTTATTAGCATTCTGAAGAGTCATTGCCCGCAACTTGACCATTGTTGAATATTCATTTTGTCTCACACTGTATTTCAGGCAAAATATACGCAGCATGTTACATATACGGGGTAAACCAGAGTTGAGCAACGTCGAGAAGGTCATCGATATATTGTCAACAGAATGTCCACAATTTATGTAAATAAAGTAACATGTATATGATTAAGACTAAAAACCATCATAAACATTTATTAAAAACACACAATAAAATATTCTCAGCTAAGTAAGCCTATACAGGGTTGTTCACCACATACGACACGGAGTATTATAGCTAAACGATTAAATTTTTACAAATTGTAAGTTTTGGTTTCGTAGAAGGACTATTAGAGGTACAATTTAAAAATATTTTTACAAGATACAGAGTGTCCCAAATAAA